AAAAAAAAACGGTGTTGCTTTACAAACTACTAGAAAAACATTGTAATAACCCAAAATTTCTCTTATTTTTGTTTTATATTTATATATTATTATTATTATTATTATTTATGCTTATTTTTTATTTTTATTTTTATTTTTGTTTGAAGTTTACTAAAAAAAAAAAAAGGAGGAGGAGAAGAAGAAGAAAGAAAGGAAAATGATGAAAAACACAAAAATTTTCATTTAGGGACACAATTGAAGTAATTAGGAGTGTAATCGAGTCAATTAAAAATTTTAAGCCCTAAATTGCACTTCACATGGACCCAATTGATAAGATTGTGTTGAAATTATATCACAAGAGGGCGTAATTGCTAAAATCGAAATGCACAAGGACCAAATTGGAATGTTGGAGTAGACGACGGGACCGAAATGTGGAGGATGACTCGTCGTCCACTCCAAACCCAGATTCTCTCCGAAAATCTTTGAAGAAATCGCCAAATCCTCCATAAATTTTCCGTTTTGATTCTACATTTATCATTGAATTAATTTTGGACAAAGAATTAAGCAATCACTAATTCCTTTCCTTGTTGATTAGCAAATCAAATCAAATTTGAGATTTTTGACGGAAAATTTTGGAGATTTGTGTTTGATTCCAAGAGAAAATCAAGCGAGTTTTTGGCTATAAAAACGAGTATGGTTTCAAGAAAAAAAGGGGTATTGGAGAGGAAGATTGGGCGAGAAATTCGGTAAAAAGAGAGTGAAAATCGAAAGCAAAAGGTTTAATTTTTCTCCGGGTTTTCTAGGTTTATTCGGGTAAGTGTTCTTCATGTTCTTGGTGTTCTTAATTTACGGGTTTGTGTTCTTCATTTTTCGGGCTTCCCAATTCTTGGTTTTGGGTTTTTTAAGGGGCAATCCTTCATCCTCAAGTGTTTCCTCAATCCCACGGCTTAAGTTCTGGATTCCAATTCTTCAATTCTTGGGTCTTCCTTTTTTTGAATTTATGGACGGTGTGTGAACGCTTTCCTTCGTCGGGTTGCGTTTTTGGTGTCCTTCCAATTGCTAGACCCTAATCCTTCGATTTTGAACTCGTTCGAAGATCCAAAAACAGTTTGAAAGATCCCTAAGTCCTCCAAAAATCATTCCAAGGTTCGATCCCGGTCCAATAACTTCAAAATAACGATCTCCATTCGGTCGGCGTTTCTTCAATCTTTTTTAGTTTTTTCCACCTTTTTTTTACTTCTTGTTGTTGATTTTGTTTGTTTAGATATTAGAATCAAAGGCAAAGATATTGAACATGATGTAATCACTTGATACTTTTGTTTTGATCTAAAATGAAGTTCCAATGTTTGGAAAATGTTGATGAATGGAGAGAGGAAATGATGAAGCCGAAGAACAAGAAAGAGAAATGTTTGAATTTCGAAAAATGAAAAAAAAAAACGGATCTTGTTTTTGGGCCTAAGGTCCAACCCGTTGCTTAAACAAAAAGAAATAAACGATTTCGGTCCAACCCAACCCATCGTAAAAAAAAAACAAAAAAACAAAAAGGGGAGTCGGATCGAGCCGCGCCCCTCCTTTCAAAAAAAATAAAAGGGGTTGAGCTGGAATTCGACCAGACCGTTGTCCCTTAAAAAAAAAAAAAAGGAAATTAAAAAAAATAGAAAATAAGCAAAAGGAAGCAAAAAAAAAAAAAGAGTAAAAGTTGTGGGTTAATGGTTTAGGTATATGATAATGTTTTATTTTATTTTATCTTTTTTCTTCTATTATTCATTCATTTTTTTAGCCTCGTTTATTTTTATTCCTTGTCGTTTTTTTATATTAATTTAGAATTGCTATTTCAATTTTTTATTATTTTCTTTTCTTTAATATATATTGTTTAAAAAAAAAAAAGAAATCTTGACGAAGTCTCCTATCCGATAGGGACCGACGTCACACAAAAAAAAAATGCCTAAAAATTTTGACAAAGCCTCCTACATGGTAGGAACCGGCGTCATCAAATAATAATAATAATAAATAAATAAATAAATTCGATGAAGTCTCCTATCTAATAGGGACCGACGTCATCAAATTCAAAATTTTCGACGAAGCCTCCTATTTGATAGGGTCGACATCATCAAAAATCACCTTTTAATTAAGACGTCCTCCGACACGCCGGTTGTGTCAAGGCTTTTAGTGGATCCGATGTTTGAAGACACATGTCACCCAACGAAGGAGATCGACGATCGTTTCAATATGATGCCACACCCAAAACTAAAAAATTCATTTAGTCTAAAAGAAAATAGGAGATTAAAGTTTAGAAAAATAGCTTGACATTGATTTTAGGAAATAATTTAGAACTAAATCGTATATGGTACCTTTTTTCGAAAAAAGGGTTCTTTTAGGTGATTAAATATCTTTCTAAAAGCGTAACCAACTCCTTACCTTAGAAATATCCGAACCAGTGCTACTTTTAGGTTTCTAGTTCTTTAAATACTAGGTGGCGACTCCAAAACGTTGTAAATAATTTTATAAATAATTAACGCTTAGACTTTAATTTTTGTGGAGAGTCTCGTCCTACGTCGTATAGTGACAAACATCATGACAAGATATCGGAGAGTACATACTCTTATCTTCTTCTTTGGCTGGATTATTGACTATGCCAAGGAGTTCCAATAGAATGATTCTTTCCTTAAACTGCAAAACTCCCACCTTCCGTACCTCCTAAACCAGGGAGTTTGGCAAAAAGCAAAAAGAGGCTTGGTAAAGAGTAAATTATATATTAGTCACTTTATTTTTTAGAAATGAATTAATTAATCTATCTAGTTTTAAAAATTAATTATTTAATTTTTTTAAACAGAATTGATAATACTTAATTTAATATTACTTTAGTAATCTTTTTTCGTCAATCATTGCATATATATTTTTTAACTTTTTTCTTTTTTTATTTATTAAAAAAATCAAAATAAATTGAAAATGACCGAAAAGGATTAAGTTATGAACAAAATTAAAAATATAAGAATTAAATAGTTATTTTTTGAAAGAATGACTAATTAATTCGTTTTTCAAAACTAGAAAAAACTAATTTATAATTTACTCCCTTAATAAACATATGACATAATTCTTTCCTGGCAACAATAACAAGCAAGTCTACGCAAGAAACAATATATATGTCAATTAACCATGGAAAACAAAGAGCATAGCTACTATAAAGAGAGCCTAGCTAGCCCCTTGATGGGTTAAAGGATTATATTCATTGGATTGATTGATCGGTTAAGGCCATCATTGTTATGTACAAGAAATGAAAACAACGAGTGTGTGAATTCCCTTTCATGCACAAGGCATTAGGGCCTATTAAGAATTTTGAGCCGTGGAGAGTGCATGAATTTTACCTTCCTTTATTTAATGATAATGACATGACATTCTAGTTGAATGCTCACAAATAGTCAATAAACTTTAGCATGATGACTATCAAATTGATGAATAATGGACCATGTTAGTAAGAAGGAAAGACCCATCACGTGACTTATGCTTGAATTTTGGCTTCGAATCGTATTGTCAGACAAAAAGCACAGTAGTCATCCAATATCTCATGAATCGGTAGGATGTGAAAATAGATAGGTCCTTCTGTCTCTCAGTGTTCTAATCCCTAGAATTTTAAGTGCCTAATTTAGGATATGGCTAGCAGAGTTCACATGTGAATAGAGGCCGAAAATGGTAAGATGTTTCATTCATTGAAGGTGATGACATGCATTACACTGGCTACTTTAATTGGTAATTAATGAGTTCCTATGCTTAGTATAAATAAGCAAATTACAACTATCATAATTGGGATGAAATTCATCTTATGTCTTTGTACTCTTCAATATTGTCTGTTTTAACTCATCTATTTAAGTATGATATAAAATGAATTGTAACTGAATGTTAGAATAAATCGGACTTTTCATCCAACATCCGACCAATCATGTCACGATACATGATTAAAGGAGGTGAATGAAAAAATTTGTTTGTTTCAATATTTAATAATACATGATTTGTCTTGTATCATATCTAGATAAAAAAAATTAAAATGGACAATAATGAATGAATGGTACAATTAATGATATAATGAATTTCATCCATCCTAATTATAGAATGCATATTTAATTAAGAAGCTATTATCAATTTCTCGACATCACTATGGCCTTGTAATTCCTCATCATTTTTTTGAGTAATTTATATTGACTAGAAATTAAATAATCATTACAAACACTAAGTTATATATTAAATCTAAAATTATACCTAATTAATTAAGAATGATTACTTAATTGAAACTTGTATTTGGTTGAAACAATCTTTCGTTATTCCTACAAAAAAAAAAAAACCTATAAACTGCTATTTAAGTGCACATTCTTGAATTAGCTAACTAATAACGACCTAATGGTATATTTCTAAATATCGAAGCTAATAAAGAGATCATTTTCGATAAGCGACATGATAGGAAAGCAACTAATAATGAAATAACCGAATCAATTAATTTTATTGATTAATATGAGGAATTGTAAATAATGTCCTCTTAAAGTAACTTGTAACGAATTAACGGTATCAACTAACTCGATCCATTGATTTATAAAGGCGAAAAAAATTTTATAATTTTAAAATTTATACAAAATTATAGTGCTTTACATATAATAAAAATCCCCCTTCGTCAAGTTTCGTGTTCTTGCTTGCTTCTATAGAATAGCTAGTGGAATTGGATGTTACATAATTTACATTTAATTAATTGAAATAAAATATTGGAGAGAAATTACTCATAATTCTTTTTTTTTGGGGGAATTTATTAACTATGATAATTTTGAGTTGCACAGCACAATAAAGATTCTTTCTCCCCCCACATGATTCCATGTTCCACAAAACCAAACCCTAAGGGTGTTTGGCAAAAAGAAAAAAGGTAACTTAAACATATAACACTCTCTTGCTTGGGAACAACAACAAGACAACAAGCAAGTCTACTAAGAAATTAACACCAAACCATGAAAAAACAAGAACATAAAGAGATCATCAAAGGCCTATTCAACAGTGCCATTGATGTCTTCCTCCTCCATGATCTCCTCTTCAATATCAGAGCTTTCGTCATCAGAAATCACAAAGGTCAGCCTCAAGCGCCCGCCTGAGCGGCTAGCACGCAACATGTCTCCCTGGGGAATTTTTATCTCCTCAAGCACAAAGCTATCGGTTTCCTCGTTATAATTGAGATAACCATAAGGCGTACCTTTATTAAATAATTTCAAGCAAGAGATTGGAGGAGGGAAGAGTCCCTTTTTCTTTGTTGAATTCCCAAAAGCCACGTACTTTTTTGTCTCCACATTCTTGATCTCCTCTTCCAGACCAGAACTGGCTTCACTCTGCACATCAGAAAGATTCAACAAACAAGATGATGGAAAAGAAGATGAAAAAGATAACGTTGCATCTAAAGAGTCGACGAAGGATAGAGAACACTCTTCGAGAGAAAGGTGAACAAATTCATCAGCAACATTATTAACATTGTTGGCTTCATTGGGGTTTGAAAAAATCGAAGAACCCCATGATGCTGGTATGGATTGAGACCTCAGGAGGGTTGGCTTTGGGGGCGATGGGGTCTTCAACTGGTCTTTCAGGCCAGAGAAAGTCTTGCCTTCCATAGCTAAAATTGACAAAGAAGAAAGAAAGTTGATAAAAACAAGAAGGGGAAATGAAGAGGGATGGAATCACTAACAGGCAAGGGAGTGTTACTTATAGGTAGAGATGGGGATAACGCATGAGTGCCAAATCCTTTCCAAGATGGGACAAAACACATGCAAAAGGGCAAGAAAGTGTAATTAAATTGATAATTTTTAAGGCCAAGACTAACAATACCATTATTACACCACAAAAAACCAGCAAAACTACTTTTGAGATGGAAAATGGTTTTCAGTTTCTTTCTTTGTCGTGTCCATTGGTCCACTCTCTGCTACGTTAGCAATATCTGTATTTTTTGTTTTGTAGCATTTCTCACTACACATTTCTGCATATTAATTATTACATTACCTATAACTGTTGTTTTAGGCATAATTACCTTCCTGTTTAAGAATCACCATGGGCGATTTTGTATCCAAAAGAGGGAATTACAAATATTTATATATTTTTAGATATTAAGAGTGTGTTTGGTGATACAGTTGAAAGTTTCTTTTCAAATATCAAATATTCACTTAAAAATAAAAAACTGCAATTTGAGTGTTCATTTTTTTTATTTGCCCACGATCATATAAAAAAGAAAAAATGAAAAGAAAATGTCAATGTGTTCAAGATGAATTGTCAGTGATAGATGTTAATTAACACATGAAAAAAAAAAAAAAACAGATCCTACTTGAATTATTTAGAAAAAAAATACAATTTGAATGCCTTAACTTTAATTATCTTTTCATTTGAGTGCTCTACGTTTAATTTTTTTTTTTTAATTTGAGTGATCTCAATCACTTAAGTTTAAAAAATACTAACGTGATCGGGATTTACCGACATGCAACAATCTTTAATTGACACGTTAAAAAGTGAGTTCTACTCAAATTTATTAAAAAAAATATATAAAAAGGATATAGAAGAAAATAGTTGATAAGAATTCATTTTGGTTTTTTTTTTTTCATGGTTAGTTATTTTGTTTTATAAAGTTTTTTAATTTTTTTTTCTCAATAAATTCGAGCAGGTCTTTTTTTTACACATGTCAGCCAATTCCGAACATATTAGTATTAAATATATTAAAAAAAACTTACATAATTTAAAAGTACAACCAAACCGCAAATATTATACAGTAGCTTAAGCCTCCTGAAAGAAATTGCGGCCATATAATTTCTGGATTCTTAATAATGGCTAGATGTCATTTTTCAGATACTGATAATTATTGTAGTCTATACTTTCCATTAAGGCCAACTAAGCATTATTATTGCAGGATATGGTAGTAATTACAAGGTAAAAATACCTGCACAGACATAATCAAACCACAAGTCGTAGCAATTTCTTCAAACCATGATGTTTAGTGATAGTGATGGACTGGGTTTTTATGCCAATGACAGCAACCATAACCACATATACAGGCAATTTGGTCTACCTTTTTTTTTTTTTTTTTTTAATTGAAAGGTCTACTTCCATTATTCATGAAACAAACCCTTCCAGGACCACATCTTGGGCTGGTGATTAAAACTTTGGTTAAATGGTTGAAAATTCTCCTAAAATTTTAAGTCATCTAAAATCTTTAATTTTAAATTTTAAATTTTGAGCTGGCTTCAATATTTCAGCTATTTTTTATTTGAATTAGATCTTTTTATTAGGTTTTCATCAATCTTAATGTACAACTACAATTTTTCAATAAATAAGAACAAGCCAAAATAGTAGTAGATATTTTTTTTTTTTTAAATAATTTGTTTCTTTTATTCTAAACGATAAAAAATTAGTAACTAAATGATATTTTAGGGGGGGGGGGGGCAAAAAAAAGAGAAAGGAACAAGTTTTTTTTTTCAAAAAAAAAATAAAGCATTTGTAGATTTTGATATATTTTTATCCAAAAATTAAAAAAAGTTAAGAAGACAATTACTTACAAGTCAAATATTTTTATAATGAAGAATTGACGAAATCTAACAAAAATATTTAATTTCAAATAAAAAATAATTAGAATAAAATGCAATTCTAGATTAAAAGTTTAAAAATCGATTATCAAATGTCTTAAAATTTAAAAGAAATTTGGACCATTTAGCTCGAAACTTTTTCGGAAACCCATCAAGTTTTGGATAATGAAAACGAAATCTTGCATTAATTTGCTTTATCTTTAATGTTTCCTTGGGATTCAAATTTGGACCAACATTATGCAATCTTTATGTGACACTTACAGACTCGATAACATTTGGAGTCATGGCTATGTAATTGACATTTTTAGATCTTCTATTATTGCTGGAGGTTTGTTTTCGTATCAAAATTATCATCTTCTTAGATTTTCGAAAGTTGTCCACTTTCGTGGCTGCAATGAGGAACCGAATTCAAAATTGGGCTAGCTTCTTCTGTTTAAGGGTACTGGGATAACCTCAGATTAGTCCCCAACATATTACCCATTTTATATTGGGTCCTCAATCTATATTATTTATCAATTGGGTCCCCAACGATAAAACAAGCCTCAATCAACTCCTTTTGCCTAGAATTTGCTAGTATTTCTGACCAAAAAGTTAATTTATCTTAATGAAGACATCTTTTTATGTTGTAAAATAGGTTTATGCAGAAAACTTTAACGGGATTTAGAGGGGGGGGGGGCAAATTGAGGACTGGTGTGTGAATAGAGGACTCAATTGATTAGCAAATAAGTTGGAGATCTAATTGAGAATTAACGGACCCACTTCGAAAGTTGGACACTGGCTTAGCCACCGCCGCCCCCATTATTTGTATATATGGTTATTTTTTATTTTCAAAATATTTTTACAAATTAATTAAATAAAAGATTTTTATATTCTAATAGTATGACTAATTTTGATAATTTAAATCTAAAATTTTTGTTAAAATAATAAATTAAATATAAATTAATATTTTCAGATAAAATTGATTCAATTAAAGATAAAAACAGATTAAAAAAAATATCTTGTATAAAAACATATTAAATCATTAATCCAAAAAATAAAAGAGAAGTGATAATGGGTTTAGCAGTTACCATTTATGCAATGTATTCATGAACGGAAGGTAGAATCCAAATCTCCTCCAAGATTTACCAACAATAATTGCTGTATCCTCTTTTAACTTTCCATATTATTTTGCCTCATACATTCTTCACTTTTTATCCTCACTTTCCTACCTACTATACTTAATTCTTTTCTCTTAATACGTAAATAAATATTCAAAAGTCATCAAAATTTTAAAACAAAAAAGGAAAATTCATAGGAAACGTTAACTTGTTAGAAACCAAAGTATCAGAATCAAAGCCCGCCAACCAACTATGGAAAAGAAAAAATTATAAAAATTATGTTTATTAAAAAAATTAAATTTTATAATTTCTGTCTCGAATATAATTAATTTTATCTTTAATGTCGAATATGAATATCTCAATAAAAAAAAAAAAACAAACAAACAAACATACTAGAATCAAAGCCAGCCAACCAACCAACCAAGGAAAAGGTTTATTTAAGTTAGTTTGATCCTTAATATTCTTATAATCATTAGATCCGACGATTATGTTAATTGCCTTTAAAATACATCACTAACAGAATAATATAGAAGAATCATTTTAGTCCATAATAAGAAAAAAAAATTATATATTTTTAACTAATAATAGATTTCTCGACTATCTTTCATGTATTAAATTTTATTTTATTCTAAATCGAATTTCAAACAAACCATATATATTAAGATAAATACGTTCATAAAAAATTATTTCTTCATAATTACTTTTTTTATTTTAATCCAACATGCTGATCTTGAAAATAAATCTATTTACCTCCTTAACCTATACTCCAAGACTATTTTACTAATCTTTTTTGCGAAATATTAATCGAATGACAACAATAATGAAAAATAAAGAGACTAAGGATGCAACATTTAGTCAACAAAATAATAGTAAAGGGACCAAAGTGAAACAAGTGAAAAAATAAAGAACCCAAATGCACCAATTCTGCTAAAAAAGAGAGGGAAAACTTTAAACCCTCCCTAAATTTCCCTCGCCTCCCTTCTCCTCCAAGCCTTCCTCTCCCATCTTTTTTTTTTTTTTTTTTCCTACGCAGAGAGATAGCTTTCTTTAATCAAAATCTATTCCTCTTACCGTCGCTTTCACTTTGTTCTTGCCTTCATTTTTTAGTACTTTATCCAAATAACTCTTTCTCTTTTTTCTAACTAACCTATCGGCCATCGCTTTACTCTTTATTGATTTTGTTCCTTTTTCTTGTACTTCACTCTTTACTCTTTGTTGCTTTTAATTCACGAAACCCAGGGCAAGAGAAGCCATAATCCAATACCCATTTGTGTTTTCTTTCCAAAATCTTGAGAGGAAGAAAGAAATATAATCCACAACGTAACAATGGGTAATTGTTTTACAAATTCAAAACAATCAATGGCTGAAATAGCTCCTTATGATTTCATCAAATCAACCACAGCCGTCCAATTAAACGGTGACCCCACCAGTTTTTTCAGTCTCTACATTCATTTTGCTCTTCGTTACAAGACCAGAGCGCTTCAATTTACACCCACAAATGACCCGCTACCAGTGGTCCAAATCGGGTCTGAAACGGTTTCGGGTTCCCGAGAGATGATGGTTCGGTTCATTGACCTGAAGTTTCCGCAGCCGCCATTGGTGGTGGCAGTGGAGGAAGAAGGAGGTAAAACGGCGGCGGCGGTGATGAAAATGGTGGTGTTGCAACATAGGAGTATGGTGTGGCATTTGGAGAGGATGGTGAGGTGGAGTGAGGATTTGGTGACACGTGGTGGGAGGAGGAACGGTGATCCGGGAATGGGGAGTGAGAGGATGGAAGTGAGGAAGTTTCAAAAGAGTTACCAACAGTTGTTAGAGGTCATGGTTGAGCACGCGCAGATGGAGGAGCGTGTGGTTTTTCCTCTTCTGGAAACGGCCGAGAGAGGTAAAGTCTCCGGTTCAAGGTCCGTTCGTCCGTCCATCTTACGGACGGGCGGATTGAATTTAACGGTCGTATAGACGATTGTCCTTAGTTTTTTAAGCTGTGATGTCCTATAAATATTTGTTTCACCTAGAAAAAATGGTGTAGTTCAGTTGTTTTTCAATTAATTTCCTACAAGTTGCTGCTTATGCTTGTTAAGGTTAAATAGGGATTCTTCAGATTACTGGTTGGGAAATTGAAGAAAAATGCTTGATTTTCTATTGTTTGTGGAGTAAAGTTGACGTTATTTTGGGCAATGCACACGGCAAGGATGCTCATGGTCTGTAAATTGATTGTGATAATGCAGGGTTATGTAAAGCAGCAAATATGGAGCATGGAAGGGACCTGCCCATCATGAATGGAATCAGAGAAGACATAAAATCAATTGGAGTTCTAGAAACCGGAAGCCACGACTACCGAGAGGCTCTTCGAAACCTTTTGACTCGCCTCAAATCATTGCTGGTATAAATCTCATCACTTTTGAACGTTTTGCTTTAATAATCTGAGAAAATAGACCATATCTATGTAGTGTAGTGCAAGCCAATTATAGTGCCACAAGTTCCTTGATGATATTATAAGTACTGTAGGGCTAATTTGGCTGTTAAAATGTGTGTATCTGTGTCCCTTTTTCGAGCAAGGTGTCTTGAGCTCTTTAAATGTCTTGAATAATTTGAATCATCGCTGCATTGTGCTTGATGCTGATAGGAACATAGTAAAGAGCACTTCCTGGAGGAGGAGAGAGATGTATTGCCATTGATGGAAGCTATGGAGCTAAGCAAAGATCAGCAATTGAGGGTATTGGAGCAATGTATTGATGTGATGCAAGGGACCCACTCGCATTTGTTCAACTTTTTCATAGAAGGTCTTCTGCCTCGAGAAGCCATGCAGTACTTGGATTTGATTGTAAATTGCAAAGACGAAAAACTCGTGGCCTCCATGCTTCGCAGGATTATCGAGTAGGATGTAGAAGTAGCTACATGAGAACATAATACGGATTTTTCTTAATGTTCATATAGGTAAAAGATGTTTTGTGTGCTCTTATAGAGCTGAAGCAGGTATATGTTTTGTGATGCTTGCCTAATTGCTTGTGCGGCTGTGGTGCCGTTTTGAAACTGTTATTTGTAAGCAATGGAACTTTGTCCAGCAAAGGATCGAGAAGTAACAGGGAGTTTGATGAACCACAGAGGGCAAAAGGCTTGGAGGACTTGAAGTGTCAATTTTTGCCATGTTATTTGGCATAGTTTGTTTGGCTCTTAGCATGCCGGTATACAACAGTTTCGAAACATTTCATTATTGTTATTTTAATACTACATTAAGTTGCGATCTATGATGATGACCATGACTATTTTTTCAACGGTTCATGGTTTAAAACTATCTTAACCTTGGCACATAAAGCATGGTATTTCTCATGGAAAAGCTAGAAATTACTTAGCAAAACACCTCGGAGGAAATGTTTTGCCATAAACACATGCTGATTAGTTTAGTGAGTAGAGTCATTTTGACATGATTTTATGCTTTTGTATATCAAGAATATCATAAAGAATAATGTTTGGTTGGTTAAGTGAACACCATGAGAATTTACTGGAACTTCTACTATTGTTTGATTTTGTAACTCAAAACTGATATGACACATAAGATATTAAGTGAAGCGATTGAGCTTATATTTGTGAGAATTTTTTTCTATTTTTTCAAGAACAAGATTTTTAATTTGAAAGTTATTTTCATCATAAAAAATCATGAAAAAAGAACTTTGAAGAAATATTTGATCACGAGTTAATTAATTTATAGATTGATTTTAATGGAGAACAATAGAGGACATAAAGATATATTAATTTATCATTCAAAATTATTTTTTGTATGTAGCATCTTAGTTTTGGTGTATATATATATACGTTCAATGATAAAGTAATTATTGCTGAAATTATTCAATAATTTCTCATGAAGTTTAAGAGAATTTAAAAAATATTCGTGAACCCATAAAATGGGAGGGTGAATATAGTATACACAATTAAATTTATAAATATAAAGTAATAGTTTTTAACTACCAATTATAAATGCAAAGTTATTTCTATGGTTATGGATTAGCTTTTTAACTGTTAATTTTTTATGATAGTTAATTTCTTCTAATATCTTATAACTATCAATGCATTTTTTTTCACTTTACTTGTTTTGAAACAGTAAAAATCATACCGTCACGCTTAAAAATATTAAAAATATAAGTTTTTTACACTATATATATCATATCTTGATCATAAAAATCTCATTTTTCATATAACTTCCACCACAACCTCACACATATCATCATGTCATTGTTATTGATCATAACAAACTTATGAGTAAATTATAATTTTTTTTTGTTTCAAAAAATGAATTAATTAATCTTTTCTATTTTAAAAATTAATTATTTATTTATTTTTATATTTTTATGTAACTTAATCATTATTTTATTTTAATTTTTTTGATTTTTTATTTTAAGAATTAAAAAAATAAAAAAAGTAAAAAACACGAAAAGATTGATAAAAAATATAATATTTTTTAAAATAAAAATAATATTAATTTAAACATGATTAATACTAGTCAAGAAATTAAATAATTAATTTTAAAAAACAATCAATTTTTTCTAAAAAACAAAGGAACTAATTTGTAAGTTACTTTTGTTATTGATCATAATAAAATTTTTAACTATTCTCCAAAAAAAAAAAAAAAAAAATTAACCAGATGACAAAAAACAAAAACAAAAAACAAAGTATCTTTTCGAGAAATTTTAACAGCAGTTGTTCCATTAATCTATTTTTTTTAAAAAAAAATACACATAAAGACAATGACATTTAAATCCATAAAAAGAAAATTACATATTTGTTCAATTTTTTTTTCTTTCCAATTTCTCATTTATATCTGTGTAACTTACACCAGTTAATACTAGACCATTATAAAATTTCTCCAAAATTTCTATCTTGTCCAAAGCCTTTGAGATACCCACTCTCACTCCTTTCTGGCGGGAGACAAAACTCAAAAGCCATAGTCCATCTACAGTCTCGCACACAGAAAGGGAAGGGGTTTCCTTCTATTGGCGGCTAAATGGGATCTCAATCAACACTCCCCGATTGGGCATCAAAGCCTTGCATTATGGGCATAGATGAAGCTGGTCGTGGTCCCGTTCTTGGTACTTTACTACTCTTTTAACAATCCCTTTCTGGGTTTTCTGTTCTTCTTTTCTCTTGATTTTCTTGAAGTTGTGTTTCTTTTTTATTGGCGGGGTTAATTGTTTGTCCTGTTTCAGGACCTATGGTGTACGGATGCTTGTATTGTGCTCGCTCTTATGAGAAGACTCTCTCTACCCTCAACTTTGCAGGTTTTGATTTTTTAAACTTAATTTTGATCTGGGTTTTGTCTAGTTTCTTGTCAAGTTCTGGTCTTTTTTAATTATTAATTTATTGTAATTTCCATTTAAACTGGAAAATGTGGCATGTTTAGTCAAAAGAATATTAGTTGCTTCATCTTTATACATGAAAGTTTGGATCTTTATCAACAATGGCTATTATTAGCTGCGTGGACCCCTCAATTATGTGGACTGCAGCTTGAATAATGGTACAGTTTTTATTTAGATTTTTACTAGAGCTTGAAAATTGGTATGCGATGCTGATTAGAATTTGCTTTGCAAAATGTGGAATTGAAGTTTACCTTTTTGTTTGAGAGTTTGGATTTTTATCAACAATGGCAATTATAAGCTGCTTGTGCCCTCTCAATGTATGGGTTGAAATGTGGATGGTTTTCTAAAAATCTGACGATGCCATTTTGTTGGTTTATTGCTTGTAGATTCAAAGACTTTGAAAGAAGAGAAAAGGGAGGAGTTATTTGAAAATCTAAAGGCTGATGAATCTATTGGATGGGCTGTTGATGTTATTGATCCGAGGGAGCTCTCGGCTAAAATGCTTAAGAAGTAAGTAGATAATGTAATTAGATTTCTTCTGGCATTCTTTGACTGTTTGCTTTTCTGGTATTTAATTCTTTTCTCTTCTCTCCAGGAATAAGATTAACCTGAATGAGATATCGCATGATTCTGCCAGTGGCCTTGTGAATAGGGTGCTAAACATGGGAGTTCTCTTAACCGAGGTACGACTTTTTTCTGACTTAGAAGAGGTGGGTTTTCCCTTAAATGTATGTTTATCCAGCCTCATTGGATCTCACTCTTCTCAACTAAACCTTAATCACTGATAAGTTTGAGTCAATCATATGGACCATTGCCTCAATTCCTTAGAACTCATGTGCATAAGATTTTGGTTCAAACATGTGATGATGTGTCAACCTATGACAACTTTTCTTGTTTATGTGCTTTTTGACTTGCTTTGGCATCGCTATCATTAAATAATGCTGAAGTAGAAGTTAAAAATGCTTACATGTTCACATGATTGGGTTTCAGGTGTATGTGGATACAGTGGGAGATCCTGAGAAATATAGAATAAAACTGTCCAATAGATTTCCTTCTGTCAAGTTTGTCGTTGCAAAGAAGGCTGATAGCCTTTATCCAGTTGTGAGCGGAGCAAGTATTGTTGCAAAGGTAGTTATTTCTCATTCATTTTATTCCACTAATTTGTTCTTGCCAATATGTTTATCTTTCATTCAACTGAGTAGGTTACAAGAGATCGGGCCTTGCGAGAATGGGTACTTGATGAAACAGCTGAAAACATGACTAGGAATTTTGGATCTGGATACCCTGGAGGTTATCAGTGCTTATTCATCTCTTTGACGTGTGATGTAAGCTTCAACCTCTAAATTTTATCTGTCTGGCAATTGAATCTGGCTTTATTGTTGTGTGCAGATCCTGAAACCAAGGCTTGGTTGGCACAACACCAACACTCAGTATTTGGCTTCCCAACATTGGTCCGATTCAGTTGGGGTACATGCACATCCTATTCCAAGAACATGGTTGAAGTTTTGTGGTCAGTTATCAGTCCTTTCTTTACTTTCCCCTAGCTGCATCATTGTGCTGCATGATGTGAGGTGCTATGTAACTCTAAAACCGAAGACAGGATCTAACTTGTCTCAGCATTTTTTAATGAGAAAGGCATTCGTTAGATGAAACAAGAAGTTGAATGCTGCAATATCATTTCTTTGTTCAGTCATAACTCCATCCAGGGAATGCTTTTTGGATGAGGTAAATTTTGATGATATATGATTATTGGGGCATTGTTCATGCTTGGATTTAAGGGGGTCTGAGGTCCATAGCCAGATGTGTAACCTGGCAGTATAGAAGTTTGATGGACCCACTTCAAAATGGATGTTGCTTCACAATTCTTTGCTTCGTTATCTCTTTTGCATGAGATGCCAAAATAGGCACAAAACTTTAATCAGTTGCTTTGAGGGGTGCACTCCATGTTACACGCACATGAATATGGTCCAGTTTGTAGAAAACAGCATTTATTCTTGTATTTTCATGCATGGCATCTGCAGTCCGCATGTTCTGGGATTTACCAATACCCCATTTTCTTGTTTCCTTTGCAATCCATTCCACTAAAAAAAAAAGATAAAACTATTGAATGTTTCATGTTTCACCTGACTACATCTGTCCTTTTATTTTTAAACAGGGAATCTGATCAAACAGAGGAAGATGGTTGTAGTGGTAGCAGTGGTAAGCGGCAACTAAAATTGAGCAGTTTTGGTGTCACAACACCCAAGAGGAAAAGTGAAGAAACTGAATCAAGTGCTAAAAGCCGCTGCAAGTTTTTCCAGACTCGTAAACTTGAGCAACTTAGTAAATTCTAGCAATGAAGTTTGATTACTGTTTTATTCCATACCTATACTAACTATTGCTTACCTCCATATCGTTGATGAATTGAACAGTTATGCTGGCATGCATCTCTTACAGAAGTGAATTTAATTGATTGTAAAGAGTGCAGATTGTAGAATGCAGCGTGAAGTGTAACAAATGAATTTTTAACCGAGAAATATCATGGGAATATTTAAAAGAGGTCTGTCGAATTTGCATTTTTTGTTAGTCATGCATATCAACTGTTTTTGTAAATGTAATGGCGAGGTCTGTTCCCCTTCAACTCCCAAGGACTAGCTCAGGCTGTGGGAGTCAGGGCTGGGTGAGAAACAGGCTATTTGCTTTCAGATCCTGACGGTGCTGGGATTGAATGCTTTGGTGGTTTCTAGCCTCTGCGCATGCTCATGCTTGGGTGTGATTGCACAAACCATGCTTTTAATACATGGTAGTTTACATGTCAAATCTTAGATTTGATTCCTCAGATATGATGATCTGTAGGCTATAAAGTAGCGTACTGGTGTCTTTGAAAGCATTATACCCAAAAGCTAGAGCATAAACCAACCATGACCTTGAAAATGGTAGCATACAACAGGATAGTAACTGCGGGCTATACTTGTTTTCCTTCTTGTTTTAAAAAGTAGTAGAAAGTTTCTATCTCCTAGTAACAATATTGCTTGTGTTAGACATGTATTGATTATCTCTTTTTTTATGAATCTGATTGAACATTTAGGACTTTTATTTTGGCCTTGCGATTTTCATGGTGCAGCCTGCAAAACTGATTTAAAAAAAGGTGGCATTTACAAGAGCTAATTGCAAATACGTTGACTTATTGTGATGTACAAACTGCATAACAGACTTTTATATTACAGGAAGGCATACTTCATGCATAAGTAGAATGCATCAAAAACCCATTATTTTATCTTTAATGGATCTACGCTTAGCTTAATGTACAATGAGAGCGGCCATTGTGGCCGTAATCAATGTTGGAAGCGCCATGCAGTTCACATGGCGGCTGCCAGCATTGTGGTGGTTGTTAGGGCGGTGATTGATTGCAGCGCCTGCTACAATAACTGGGACAACTGCTCCACCTCCTTGTACATCACCACTATTGTCAGCTGCCCCAGTTGCTCCACCACCACGTCCACCTCCAGAAACTGAGCCATGTCCAAATTTGCTGCTGTGTACTATACCACTTCTTTCATTAGAATCATCATCAATGCTACCGATGCCATGTCCATGTGTGCCTGTATTTCCCGAATTACTCTCCTGCAAAGGATCTGTCTTTGATATTGTTTAGTCTCTCATTGCAAATAGAAAATCAAGTGATTGATCAACGAATAAAACTATGAAGCACAGAGCTTGAAATTCCCTGTCCTGTCCATGATAGTAAAGCTATGAGAATCTCTTTGATCATAGAGTCAGAGTTCACTGTAGATACCCTTTCCTTTCCAGAATTTTGCCTTTTGCATAACAGTAGGGACCCTTTTATGTGTGGGAGACAGGAATTTAGCTGCAGGGTGTCCATCAAATGGAATGGCATAATTTGTTGCCATGCTAGATTCAAAGTTTCTGTCTTGGCCCAAAAAAGTTCCCTTTAGGTACCTTCCTGGCAAAAAAATTACTACAGGCTTCTTATTTAAGTTCTGTCAATCGTGATTTTGTCGCGCAGACATTATTTTTAACCTTTACAGACGTGAGAATTACTCAAAATATACCAAAAAACAGGATCTGTCTCGTCGACAGTTTTCGAATAAAGTTCCAGTAAAAAGTTTGCACCATTTTATCCTTGATTTATTATAGTGCCTTGAAATTTTAAGGAAGGAAACTTAAAAAGGAGAATCTGATTCAATTCCTAAGCGCCACTTTGTTTATCAACTTTCTCTTAAGCTTCAAAAAACGAATCTCGAGAAAAATAATTAATTTTGCGTTTGGTTGTGCCATGAAAAATTGAATAGAAAAGAGTTTTTTTTTTTTACATTGGAAGATTAATTACAAAATTTAACATGTAACATTTGATCATTTCTGAATGAAATATTTAAATATAAATAAATTCATAACTCAAATGAAATATAACGTAATTGTTTTTTTTATTTTATAATCAACGGTTTAAGTTAAACTTTAAAATAAATAAAAAAATGAAAATAAGAGTGAGAAGTAGTATAAAATAAAAAGAGTACAAAATAATAATGATATGTAAACATGAATGACAACATTAACACATAATATATGATATCAAAAGTGTTCTTTTTTTTAAAAGAATAAAACAATTTTCTGCAAACAAACGAGACGTTAAAAGAATGCTAAACTCAAGTGCTTGTTATGCAAGTGACCATGATTAACCAAGAAATTAGTAAGGTATCTCTAACAACTAGCTCATCTTTTCTTCTTCTTCTTCTTGGCCTGTATTAGTCCTTAATTTTTCGTATTAATTTAGATAAAAAGATATAGTGACAACGCAAGAAGTTTCTTCTTTCTTGAGCTCAAAATCCGACTCCTTGAAAGAGTTGAGGCTGGCAGAGGGAAAAATACGGAGAAGAGGCAAAAGAAGAATACCTGAAAGGAAGGGAGTTGAAGATGCAGACAAACATAAGCTGAAGATCACGAGGAGTACGATGAACAATCCCATCTTCTTACCAATTCTCATTTGTTTCTCCCTTTTGTAATAAAGCATGAAAAAGACAAGCTCTATGAAACTTCAGCCTCTGTTTCAAAATAGGCACGCCTAACCTGCTTTTATGTCTGTATACATGTAATCAATTGGTCCCTTTAATAAAGAAGAGAAGATAACCTTAAATCTTGCTTTATCTTTTATCACGAAAGTGGCCTTGTCATTTACATTAAAAAAATAAAAAATGAATGAACGATTAGGGCCCAAATGTCTTGTCCTCCAATCTTTCAAACAGAGGCTTGCCTATTCTTCTGAGAAGGCCACTAAATTGTGGGGGAGATCGGGTTCGTCATTTCTTCTGCTTTTCATTTATAGTTGTCTATCTTGTTTGTTTTAGCCAACAGGCTTTTTGTACTTTTGAAACTATAGGGGCACACGGAATTCCTAGTTATTGAAGCTATTTTTTTGGCACTGTTAAATGCAAATTTCAGCTCATAATTGGTTGTCTAGACACAAACTTAGCCTAACAATTCTATATTCATTAGTTTTTTTCAGTAAAATAAAGTTCCAGTCACGATAACTTTAGTTTATTTGCTGTAATGCTTATTTCTTATCACTGTTTAGACACATGATTATTATTATTAGGCATTAACTAAAAAGCTTGTAATCTAGTGATAGTAATATCTTATAATAAAATGTCATAGGTTTAAATCTTAACGAGACTAATTCTACTAGGAGTCTTAAGTACGTGAGTTATAAAAAAAAATTACTGTAAGCACTAAGCAAGTAGAACCTTTACTTTGAATTTAATGTCTAAATTATTTTTAGATCAATTTTCACAATTTAATTTTGGATTAATGCTCAATTTTATTCTTATACAACAAGACAGTTATTCAATATGTTTTTATATTTTTAATTCAGCTAATTTTATTATCGAATATACGGTAAGTTTTGATTTATTATTTTGATAAGATTTTTAGGTCAAATCATCAAAATTAACCGCGTTATTTGCATGTTACTATTCTTTTATTTTCAAAATTTCCTTACAAGCTAGATAAATAGAAGTTTTTATTCACATATCATATGAGTAATTCTAATTGTTTATCTGAAAAATATTGCTAAAAGAGCATTATAAATTTAACTTATATAACGATAAAATTAACTCAATTAAATATATAAGGGCATATTGAATAAATTGACGAAATAAATAATATATGTCAAGGAAGCAATGAAAGAATTTACTACTTTTTATTCCATTCTAGCATCTGATTCTGTTCTGTCCAAAAGAAGTCGGCTAAGAAAATTCCTTGACTGTGATTTGAAGATAACGCAAGCAAAACAAGGAATGGGAGGTTATCAAAAGATTGAAGATTTCCTTTAAATAGCTGTATAACAAGGATAATAATTATTCTCCCTCAAATCAATTTTTTTTTTAATCTTTATATTTTATGCCATTCATGCGACGATATTAATATTTCAAAAAAAAAAAAAAAAACTGTAAAAACGAGAAACTATCTTGCTTTTTAAACCGTCTAAAACTCGTATCTTAAAATCATTATATGCATATTTGATTTTTTTTTTTGAGATTTTTTGTATTTTTAAAACTTATTTTATTCTTAGATTAGATTTCCAGCAATACTAATTTTTTTATTATCAAATTTTAAACAGACAATAAACTCAGAAATCTTTTTTTCTTAAATAATCCAAATAAACGAGGCTTTCAGCCCAAAGATCCCTGAAGTCGAATTAGAGTGAAGCCCACTGAAACTGCGTTTTACGGTCCAACCTGGATCAAGAAAGCACCAAGTCCAGCAACCAAACACACCCCAATTCCAAAAACCCTAGAAAGTCTTTAAAACGCGCACATATAAATACTCTCTGCAAGCCGAAAATTCACTTCGCCCAAGCCCTAGTTGCTCTTAATCTGTGCATTTGAAACACTAGAGATTGAATCTTTGATCTCTCATCATGGTAACAGTCTCAGAACCTCCATCTTTTCATGATTTGATGAAACTTTCTTTCAGTTTCTTGGCTTCGAAACTGTAGTGTATAATGTTTTCATTCATTGACTTGTGGTGGTTGTTTTGTTTGTAGGCACCAAAGAAGGACAAGGCTCCTCCCCCGTCTTCAAAGCCTGCTAAATCTGGCGGTGGCAAGCAGAAGAAGAAGGTAAAAACAAATCAGGGGCTCCTTTTTTTTTTAGTGTTTTAAGCCTTGACTGATTCATCTTTAAAGAGTTCTAGGGATTTATTGTATTTGATAAAAGAAGATTTTGTTAGGGATTTTAATTCATGGTTTACTAGTGATTTGGTGTCGATGATTTAGCTGGCTTAAGGGTTTGTCTTTGTTCTGATTTGTTGGGATTTTATGTGCAGAAATGGAGCAAGGGAAAACAAAAGGAGAAGGTGAACAACATGGTTTTGTTTGATCAAGCTACATACGATAAGCTCGTCTCAGAAGCTCCAAAGTATAAGCTTATCACTCCTTCTATATTGTCTGACAGATTGAGGGTATGTTCTTTAAGCTCTGCATTACTTTTACATACTGATAGTGTCGAGTTAGAATGGATCTTGTGCTATTCTTAAAAATTGCTGTACTAGCTTATATTGTAGCGAAGGACATGTTATTTTTTCTTGAGAGGCACATTTTGTTTCAAAAAGCTTTTGATTTGATGTTTTCTTTTGTTTCGCAATGACGTTAGTCTAACATCAAAACGTGGACACCAATAAGGATATAGTTATGTTTTTTGCATACTAAAAATGCTACATTTGAGGTTTTATTTTCACCTTCCACAAAGGGAGAAATAAAGATATATACCCTGAAATTTGTCTTCAAAAAATCAAGATTGGACTTGCTAATATTGCATCAAGCTCTGCTTGATTTTTTTTTAAAGGTATAGGATCTCTGTTCTATATTCTCTCATTTTGAATGACTGTTAAGCGTGATAGTGGATGATGAAATGAATCAGACGGATTCCCAATGATCATATGATGTGATATCATAACCAGCTACTTCTGAGCCATCATGCTTACTGTTGTTTCTAAATGATCTAGATCCCTCTTTCAATATCTTACGTGCTTTCCTTATTTTTCAAACTTTTGACTAAACTTCTCGTGACTTGGAACTAATGTCTAGATCGACTTAGAATCTCCAATGCAGATGTGCATTGTATTGAATGAGCTTCTTATTTGGTGTTTACTTCGTGTTTTGCATTTATGTAAATGTTTGATGATTCTTGGCACAGGTTTTACTGACAGTTTGTTTTTTATCTGATTTTCAGATCAGCGGCTCTCTTGCACGCAAGGCAATCAAGGATCTAATGGCCAGAGGATCTATTAGGATGGTTTCTTCACATGCCAGCCAACAGATCTACACTAGGGCTACCAACACCTAAGAGATATAGAGTTTTAACTTTCTCCATAGAATTGAGAGAGGCAGCTAGTTCCATTTTGTCTCGTTTTCATTTCTTTCTACCAGTCATGTTGAGAGTGAAGTTTTGATATATTTATTTGGTGGCAGAGGTTTCTTGTATTGCAGAACTCATTTAAATGCCTAAATTTTAGTACATTACCAATATTTTTGCAGGTATGGGTTCACTTTTTCCAGTCTAGACCTTAAAATTGATCGAATCTTTTTATGCTCCTTGAGGGTCTTCATAAAATTAAATTAGGGTTCATACGGGTTTGGTAATTGGGATCCGCTTCTTTTGTGTTTAAAATAACTTGTTTTGTGAATGATAAGTAGGCCCTATGTTGGGCAAATTTGATCAAGGCTTTGGATCAATTCACCTACTTGTACTGGCTTCGACCATGATAAGTAGGAAGTTATGGGCTTGTATATAGTTTAGATGGAGCAGGGTGTCAACGAATCTGAGGTTGAGGGTTTAAGACTGTCTAAGCATTTGGTATTTTAACTTGTCAATTGCCAAATATTGTCTTCGACACCTTAAAGGCTTTGGCCGATCATGCCATGGACCGTCGAGGATTCAGGGTCTAAGGGTCTGAACAACTTGACTTTAGAACCCTATGGAATTACTTTCTTGAGCTCTATTTGGCAAGTCATAAGCAGGCCCTATGTTGTTGTTCTATGGATTGAACTTTCTGCAGCTTGAGAATCCTTTCCTCCCAAGATTTCTGATTATTTCTTCACTTTTTAAGATTCAAAATCAGTTGGCACCCACTAGAAATCCAATTGTCAAACTTCTTTAAAATTGGATGTTACATAACTCCCGCCGAAATTCTGTCAGATTTCCCGCCCTTTAATCTCTCTCTAACTCCTCACATACAAGTCCCTTCTCTTTGAGTTGTGGTCCAGCAGACGCAAAAACATCCATACGCCTTCTCTTTGAGTTCTTGTCCAGCAGATCACAGAAGCATACATACGGTTGTCTACAGATCATCTAGGTAAAGCCCTCTATTTCATTCAAAAGCTTCGTTTCTTTTTTATTTGTTCTTTCCTTTCGCCTTTGAAGATCAATTTGAGTGTTGCGATTTCCCTCAAAATTAGTAACTGGGTTTGTTACTTTTTTCACATTTCAGAATATGGATACATCAAGCCCTTCAATCTTTGTCAACGGGGAGTCATTTCCTTTGTATATTGGGAAAAAAGTTCGAGCTGTGGTTCAAGTTATTCAATCTGATGGTGCAGACACGAGGGGAAATCTACAGATGAACGTCAGTTGACTATAAAAGGGTTGCCGGAAATCCATCCTATGAATTTTGTTGAAGTGATTGGTATTGCTGATAGTAATCAGTCAATCCATGCCCAAATCTGGACCAACTTCGGCAACACATTTGGTATGAATTGCTAGTCATTAGCCAATCTTTTTTTGCCTTTTTTTTCCTTGTAGTGTTGTTTAGCAATTGAATCTTAGCCGGTTTGCACATTTAAAAGACTAAAAACATTTTTTTTATTGCAGATGCCTCTTCATACAATCAATTGTGCAAACTTGCAAATGGGGAATTCAAAGATTTATTTCTTTAGGGAGTTGTATTGCATCTGTGCGCTCTCACTAATGGGCAAGCAATGGTTTGTTTCTATGAAAAGTTGTAATATGTTAGACCAAGATTAATGTGGTTTCATGTTTTCTGTTCTGTAAGCAGACTTATTTATATGAAATAAGTAAATTTGGCATCAGTTCAATCTTTGTTTGGCGTGTATGGTGATTTCTTTTACTGTTAACAAGATTGAAGGAGGAAAGGACTTGATTACTGCAATTCCCATCAGAGATTGAACTTAACAAAGATGCTAATTAGAATGTGAAAATTAGGTTTTCACACTGTTAGATCTTCAAATTTTTTTAATTGAAATCTTTTATTATTTTTCAGCTTAATTGTTTTAGATTCTTTGTTATAACAGTATCGGTCAATAATCAACAAGTAATATTGAAAAAAAAAGAATCTTGGAAAAAAAGAAAAGATAATGTTTTGATCACTTATTAATGACATTACAACATAACATAAAACAAGAAATCTTCTCAATAAAAAAAAAAATCAAAGAATAGAGGATTGAATATAGGAAAAACTATGGAAATCACTTTCATATGGCAATTTTTTTATATTCTATATTCTGAAGTATTCGATTAAGTATAAAATTTCAAACTTGGCTAGTGTCAAAACTTCAAACGTGTTAGTAATCATCATTCTTGAATTGAGTGCCATTAAACTCTGTTAGACATATTTATGCATTCATGACAAAAAAAGGAATTTAAAAGTTGATGTTCATTTGCTTCCTATTGGACGGTCCCAAGCTGTTTATTACCTCATCTGAATAACAAATCAAGTATCATGTGGGTTCAATAGGATCTCAAGTTGATGTCCATAGATAATTACCCGCAGGAAACCCAAAATCAATTCGCATTAAGCACAAGTTGATGATTGAGATGAAGTTTTCAAGACACAGGAGACTGGAGGTCATGTCCAAAAATTAACAGCAGTACAAAAGGTAAACCTGGTAGTAAAAATAGCAGATAATGAAGTGCTCTACTCAGCCTACCGTAAATGCAGGTTCTTGCATTATTTGATCGCGCACAAGCACAACAAGCATGCTAGTTACATAACTCAATACAATTCTTCCTCCTTGTGTGTGTGAATCACACAATCTGATGTTGGATATGCGATGCATGTAAGAACGTATCCCTTCTCCATCTGCTTCTCGTCGAGGAATGAACCATCTGATTGGTCCACAGATCCCGAAACCATCATACCAGCACAAGTAGAGCAGGCTCCGGCCCTGCATGAGTATGGGAGCTCCACTCCTGCAACTTCAGCTGAATCAAGGATGTAAGTATCATCAGGAGCATCAATTTCGTGCTCGGTTCCATCTGGCGTGATTAGTTTCACTTTGTAAACTGCCATTGCGGACACTTTGAAGGAGGAAGACTTCAAGCCAAATGCTTTCGATACATTCCTTACAGAACCCAAAGCACCAGGACCCTTGATCAAGACACATGATCTGTTTGGGCTAGCGACTTTTCTTGGGGGTACACTTCCGATCATGCATGTTGTGGGAAGTCTCACGGTTGACATGTTTCCACCTGCACTGGAGCAATTACGAACATTTTATGGATAATCAATTACTGTCAAGATAACTTTCTTTCCTTTTGTAGTTTCATCACACTTAAAATATGCAATACTGCAGGAAATGGAGACAAAACTTGCCAAGGGAAACAAGGGAATCCACTGTGGTTCTATTTATCAATTCATGAGTCAAAAAATGGCGTAACAGGAAAAGGTGCAGTCCCATAAACGATCTGTACCGCTATATCACATGGTGGCAGCATCAGGTAATGTCGCAAAGAAAATTGATGAAAATACATTATCATCATTTCTAGATCAAGTGAAAGTACTTTCAGGGAGAATTATAAGACAAACACTCATGACTAATCCATAAGCCTATTCAGCAAGAAACAATCTCAGAAGTAAACCCTTCAGCTTAAAGTGAAAATTTCGTTCTATAACGAGGATAATTCTCTTCAAATTATCAAGCCAAGCAAAACAGATAGTTCCAAAAAAAAGACTTGAGCTCTTCACAAGCTGTATTAGTGGCAATTATTGCTAGGCCATAAGAAAATTTACTCCGTAACCACAAATTACAATCAATTCAGAAAATCTTTTACTACAAGTTGATGATATTAAGATTTCATTCACTTTTAAGACATTACATTTTGTCCCCCACGAACCCAAAAACCACCTCAGCAGATTGCTCATCCCAGGCCGACTCGAAACATATCATTACCGCGTTTCACAGAATCTGATGATTACATTTCTTGATTCAAAACATGAAAAATCAAGCTCCCAAGATTCAAGATAAAAAATTGAATCAAACAACAACACAAAAAAAGTAGAAGAGAAATATAATATATCGAGTTCAAAAGCAATAAACCAAAGCTGACAACAACAGATCAAGAAGAGAACAGGAACAAAAACAAGATCAATATCACGTAAAGAAGAGCAAAAAGCAAGAGATCTTACAACGAAAGATTGACTGACTCGACCAAGAGAGAAGTTTAAAGGCGGAGAATTCAAGGAGAGCTGCCAGAGGAGAGTGCCGCACCTAACTCAGACTAGGGTGGCGTGTGTAAAAGGCAGGAGTAGTCAAGTGTTTTTATAGTAAGTGGAGATTTATGGAGTAATTTATAAATTAGTCCCTCTTGTTTTCAGAAATAAATTAAGTAATCTATCTTGCTTTAAAAATAATTATTTAATCCTTTATGTTTTAATTTTGTCAATAATTTAATCCTTTTTCATTAGTTTTGTATTGTTTTTTCAAATTGTCCTTGTTTTAATGTTTTATTTCTCTCTTTACTCAATCTATTTCTCTATTTTTAACCAAAAATTAAAAAAAATGATAATTTAGAAATAAAAATTACTAATCCAATAAAAATATTAAATTATTGACATAATTAAAACATAAAGAATTAAATGATTAATTTAAAAAATAATTAACTCGTTTTTCTAATCGAGAGAGATGAATTTAAAATTTATTCAAATTTATATAAGAGTGAAATGAAGTGGTTTTTTTTTTTAATTGGAAGTTACTTTTGACAACTCTCCGGAGACTTAATATTATATTACATTTATATGATTAAGTTATAAATAAATTATTTAGCATTTTAACTATTATTATTATGCTTAATTTAATACTATTTTGTTTTGTAAAATGCCATTTTTTTCTCTTTATTTTTTTCATATTTTTTCTTTTTTAATTTTTAAAACAAATTAAAAAAGAGTGAAAATGATAACGTTATAAGAAAAACTAAAAAATATAAGTGCTAAATAATTAGTTTTTAAAACAATAAAAAACTAATTAATTTATTTTTCAAAAAAGGACTAATTTATAATTTACACCAGTTACTGTTGCATTGAATGAGGTTTGGATTCTCCCATCATTTCTGGAATATAGCAAGATAATAAAAACAAAATCTTAGATTGGGTGGGATGGGTTGGTGTTTGCATTATTTTGGGTCCACACTCTTTTTCTTCGCCCTTCCTTTTTGTTTAGAAATGAACAAACTCACTTTCATATATATATATATATATATATATATATATAGAGAGAGAGAGAGAGAGAGAGAGAGAGAGAGAGAGTTAATCACTACATTCAAAAGTGTGGAGATTAAAGATATATCATTTTCTATGAAGTATCTATTAAATCTATTTATTTATAAATCCAATTCTTTTATTAAAAAATGATTTAAAAATATTTATTGAAAATTCCCATAAAATATTTTGTTGGATGTAAACATGTGTGAAATGTTTAAATATCGATTTTAATTTCATAAATTTATAACTCTCATATCATTATCGATCATTCTTTTTTTTTATATATATCTTTTTTGTAAATTTACAATTGAAAGTTTACAGATGAGTTAATTCTTAGATTTGTGTCAAACCAACTACTATTACGTTTTATTTTCTTATATTTTCTCCGAAATAAGTGCATTGTAAATATTTAAATTTTTAATATTTTTCTTTAGAATATTTGAATTTTAATCTTTATCTTTTAAATATATTAATTTTTTCAAAACTTTCAATTAAATATTTATTGTCAGCTTCTGTAAATTACTTAGTTATCCAATGTCTTATCCTTTACTCTAACCTATTAAGTTATGATTTTATTCTTTTATTTTTTGAGAAAAATTTTACTTTTAAATTATTTTTTCATTTTTTCATTTTTTTATGCTTTGGATATAAAGATAATTTGAGTATTTACTATATAAAAAGAAAGAAAAGGCAAAATAATGTGGAAGATAAAGTTCTTTATAATAATGAAAAGACAAAATCCGAATTTAGTAGTCTGAGCCAAAAAACACATTAGAAGATAACGGAACGATCAATATAAATTGAATGAAAAATACTTAGTTGACGGTTTTTTTTTAAATGATTTATTTGAATAAATAAATTAACCGAAAAATATTAAAAGTTAATATTCTTACAGTGTAATCGTCTCTTTTTCTCATGCGCATGAGAATTAAGATGGCCTTTTTCTTCAGCTAAATGCTCGTCAAAACGCCTCTCTAACAAGCCGTTTAAACCCAACACCCAAACAAAGGCCCAGAACAACCATGTTCAGACCCATCTGTATTTAAGATTTTAGCCCAACCCTTCCTTCCTAGCCTCATGTCTTTCCACGCTAAGGCCTATGGAAGCATTCTTTGTCCAGCCCAATTTACTTGGAATTTCATTGGGCCCAGAGGGTCTTCCAGAGATTAAACCCAATTTTGGAACTCTGCGTTGAAGATTTTAAGTTCAATTCAATTTTCAGAAAGAGAGAGGAAAAAGAAGAAGAAGAAGAAGGAAAGTTAAATAAGCCAAACCTCTCTTGAATTTTAATCTTGAATTTTTAATTTTAAATTTGACCTCAACTTTTTTTTTATTATATAGATTTAGTTTATCTTTTAGCTTTAAAATTAATTTGGAGGTCTTCAAAAAATTTAGAAACATTCCGGATTATTTTCTTTTTTTTAGTTGATCCATTTTTTGGAAGTAAGTTCAATTCAAATTTTAGGGAAAAAAAATTTAATAGAAGAAATCCCTCATAAAATTTAATATAATTGGAGAGTCTTTTAGACTTTTTATTTTGGGTTTTTTTTTTTTTTTTTTTGAGATTTAGTTCATTCGTTAATTTACATAAATAATTTCGTAATGAAAATTATTAAGTAATATTTAGTTAGAGTTCTTTAAAAATTTGAGAACATTTCACTTTGTTTTCTACATTTTTATTATTAAAAAAATAAATAAATATACTTTTCGATCTTGAAAATTATGAGATTTTTTTTTAAAAAAAATTGAATTGAATTTCTCTCAATGCATGTACAAAATTTAATCTGAAAATATTAAAATTTGAATTAAAAAAAGAAGAAGAGATGATAGTTGAAAACCACATGGTGAATTAAATTTTAAAAAATAAAGTTTAGAAAAGTCAAAACATAAATATAAATTCAAAAAATGATTTTCAAATGAATTAAAATAAAAAAAATATCATACTTTTAGCCAAAAAGAAATCTAAGGATAAAAAGGAGTAAAAAACTTCTTAATAATGCAATCATGTCTCTTATAATATGTGGTAAAATACTACCAAAGGTCAGAAGTTCGATTCTTTCCGTTGAAAAACATTTTTCTTTTTTTGTTTTGTATTGAACATGACAAATAATAATAATAATTTCTATTGATGGAAAGAATTATCCATTAAAAAAAAAGATGCAGTATATAATTTTTAAAGAGGTTCAAGACTCTGTTTCCCTCATCAACGCATATTCTTACACTACTAGTACTATTTACCCTGCATTTTTAAAACCCTAAACTTGAACGAAAAAGAGTGTCTTCACACACAACACAAGACATACAAAAAGGCTGCAGCAGAGAGCGAGAGAGACGCAGAGAGTTGTAATAAAGCCCTCAGAAAATAAAGGGTCGGTAAGAGATGGCTCAGCTGAAGGCATTATCCCCATCTTCATCCCTCAATCTCTCCGTTCATGTCCCTAAGAGAGGTACGAACTCTCCACTTTTTTACTGACTTTTTTGTGATTCTGCGACATTGGAAGTGATTTCTTGAAGCTAAAATACATGATTGATTTTGTTTGCTAGATTTGTTGTTGTCTAATAACAATGTATCTTTTGCAAAGAAGTCAGATTTGTTTCAAGAGGTAGAGCATTTCTTCTGAAGCATTGTTTGGTTGGTTTTTTTTTTTTTTTTTTTTTGCATTGATTGGTTCTTTTTGTTTTTAATTTACTTTTCTTTGTTTGTAGCTGGGGGCTAGAAAGAGTGAACTTCAGGGTGATGCAGTTGTGAGCAATAAAGGGAATGCTCTTCGAGTTCATTGCAATAAAGGTGAGATTAATTGCTCTTTTTTGGGTCTTTTTTTCCGACGAGTTAAAGAAATTAACTTGGTTCAATTTGGAATGCGAATTCAAAATCATTTCTAAATTTTCAATCTTTTTAATGGGTTTTCTTTGAAATTGTTAAGTTTTGTATATGGTAAGTTTTACTTGAAAACGTAATTGTAATTTATTTCTTCAATAGTTTTTTTTTTTTTTTTTTTTTTTTTTTTTTAAGTAAGGATAGGAATGCAATCAGTAGCTGAATCTTGATAAGTCTTCTAGTTTTTTTGAGATTCTTCTCTTATATATCTTAAATCAACCAAATTAGTGTGGATGCTAAAGTGGATAGTTTAGTTTGATGGGGACAAAATGTGAACTTGTTGCGTTTTGGAATTGGAGTTCTTTCATTTTTTATTTTTCAATCTTTGTAATTGTTTTATTATGTATGCGCTACATTTTACTAGAAAAGTAGTTGTAATTTATTTATCCAATAGGTTTTTTTTTTAACTCAGGTGACTTCTGCTATTATTATTATTTTTTTTTTTTTTGAGATTCTGTTGCTGTTGAAGTAAAGAAGATAATGAGGTAACTTCTGGTAATGACACTGTAATTAACCTTGATGTGCAGGGATTCAAGCAGTATTATCCAGTGATAAAGCTACAGAGGATTCTGAAGCTATGAAGACTAAAGGGCTAAGAGGAAAATTAAACAAGGTTGTTCTAGCCTATAGTGGTGGCTTAGACACCTCAGTTATTGTCCCATGGCTACGGTATGCTTCTTGCTTTATGTTTGATAACTAGCCTTTTCTAACTAATTGATACGCGTGGTTCATTAGCCTTAAGCTGCTGTTTTGGTTTAATTCGGAAAATCTGGAACATGGATGGAAGTTTTATGCTAGCTCCATATGATATCGTTTAGAATAGATACAAAGGAAATGCATGCATTCACTGTTTATGTGTGTGTTATGGTATTAAGACACATGCTTTTGGGACATTGTCGTAGTCTAATCTGGGGTTGGTGAAGAGCTGCGAGTTTTGGTTGGCTCAACCAGATAGTAGTGCATTTTTGTTGCTAGGTCAGTTATATGTCATGGGGTGGGTGACATATTTCATCTTACTAGCAGAATTACTTTTCATTTATTTTGCTTCCTGTCTTTATGTATTTCAGCTTCACAGTGTTTATCCTGCCTTTTTCTTTTGAAACATTTTTTTTCAACATTCCCTTTTATAATTTTCAACTATTTTGTGCTTTCAGGGAGAATTACAGTTGCGAGGTTGTTTGCTTCACTGCTGATGTTGGCCAGGTTTGTAGTAGTAGCAAAATCTATTAAATTCACAGTATTTGATTTGTTTGGAATACTCATTCCTCCTTTGAACCATTTTGTCTGGTTTTATCAATTACAGTACCCATATTTATACTTGTGCTTGATATAGATTTTTCAATTTGTAGGGAGAAGGGGAATTAGTAGGCTTGGAACAAAAGGCTAAGGCTAGTGGTGCTTGTCAGTTGGTGGTGAAGGACTTGCAGGAGGAATTTGTGAGAGACTTCATTTTTCCCTGCTTGCGAGCAGGTGCCATCTATGAAAGGAAGTACTTGTTGGGGACGTCAATGGCACGCCCTGTTATTGCAAAGGTTGGCTTTTCCTTTAAGAGTTGTCGTCTTGTTGTAGTTTTAGATTTTCTTTACAGACATTAAGATAAACATTGAGCCGTCAATGATGACTGATAATATTGGTTGTGTGTGTTTTGCCTTTCTCTGGTATTTTACCATCTTCTGACCTCAAATTTATTGTTTTAGAGAAGCAATTTCTATTATCTAAATAAGTACAGATACCCACAGTTTTGTGGAGTGCTTCTCTTCTCTCTGTTCTTTGTTATTTAGAATATGCACTGCCTCATGACACTTATATGTCAATGTCATATTTGTAATAATAATAATACTTTACTTACATCATCTTGCGACAGGCCATGGTGGATGTTGCAAAAGAAGTTGGAGCCGATGCTGTTGCTCATGGATGCACAGGAAAAGGAAATGATCAGGCATACCTCACAAATAGAACTAACTTGTCTAGCATTTGTAAATTTCCTTCTAGTGTTAACTTTTTTGGTTTTTTATTTATTCAGGTTCGCTTTGAGCTCACCTTCTTTGCACTAAATCCTGAACTAAATGTTGTGGCTCCTTGGCGGGAATGGGATATCACAGGAAGAGAAGATGCCATTGAATATGCTAAGAAGCACAACGTGCCTGTCCCAGTGACAAAGAAATCCATATACAGCAGAGACAGGAACTTGTGGCACCTGAGCCATGAGGTTAGTATTCATTCTTCAAACTGCTTCCTAGGTGAAATTGCAGTTGTTAAAGAATACTAATTCAGAATGTCTTGTGTTAAGCTTGTTGAAGGAACAAAACAAATTGTTGATTTTAAAGGCACAGTTAGTCTCCTTTTGCTGTCATCTCACATTTATTTTCTTCCCCACACTTCATATCCTTTCTTCGTTTGCTGGTTTTCATACTTAGCAAATACTTCGAAAGCTTATAATTTTGTAGATATAAACATGCGATGTTTGTTTGAATACTATTTGCTTAAATTCTTTAATTGGTCATTCGGTTGTTAATTTGTTTTCTAAATTTTATTTGCTTCTCTCTCTGCCAAGGGTGACATTCTGGAAGACCCTGCTAATGAGCCAAAGGAAGATATGTACATGATGTCTACTAGTCCAGAAGCAGCACCTGAGAAACCTGAGTGAGTCCCTTGTTAAATTCTCAGTTCAACTAATCTGAGATTATCATTGATCAAGTTATGACACCACGTTTGCATTTTTTTCCATGTGCTTGATTCTTTCAGATATGTAGAGATCGGGATAGTATCTGGCCTTCCTGTTTCAGTAAATGGGGAGAAGCTTTCCCCAGCTTCTCTGCTTTCCAAACTCAATAAGATTGGTGGGAAACATGGTATTGGCCGTATTGACATGGTTGAGAACCGACTTGTTGGTATGAAAAGCCGTGGAGTATATGAAACTCCTGGAGGCACCATTCTCTTTACTGCTGCACGTGAGCTAGAGTCATTAACACTGGATAGAGAAACGATGCAAATTAAAGATTCACTTGCTCTCAGGTATGCTGAGCTGGTGTATGCAGGCAGGTGGTTTGACCCACTGCGTGAATCCATGGATGCATTTATGACGAAGATCACTGAGACAACAACCGGTTCAGTCAGACTTAAGTTGTACAAAGGATCCGTCTCAGTAGCTAGCCGGACAAGCCCCAATAGCCTGTATAGAGAAGACATATCCTCCTTTGAGAGTGGACAGATATATGATCAGGCTGATGCTGCTGGATTTATTCGGCTCTATGGTCTACCGATGAGGGTTAGGGCAATGCTAGGGAAGGGCATCTAATGATTGTTCTTAGGGTCTACCTTCTAATGACATCTTGGTTCATTCTGTTGTTTCAGTAAGACATGTTCATTCTGTTGTTTCAGTAAGACATGTAGGCAACCATATTGCTTGATTAGCTTTTATGGTGATTTTCTTGTATGTGAGTTTTGGGGTTCATACACCCCTTAGATGCATCCTCTAACTGATGGTACTTGGGATGAGGCCTGGCAATGCAAAGGATGATCAATTTAGGATGCAAATTTCAGCCATTCCCATGGAGTTGGTGAAGATGTATTCATGTTTGGAAAACAAATTATGTGGCATCCAAGATCCAACTGAAATAATGTTGATGCATCAAGAATTCATTATTAAAAAAAACAGAAACTTGTGCTTTCCTTAGTTGCAAAATCTTGAATAAAAAAAGAAAAAGAAAAACCCTAACCTAGAAACACCACAACATTGGCTGCGGAGGCAGCTTGGGATGCATGCTAATAAACCCTAATTTCATCATCTCTCACGGTCACAGACGTAACTCCAAGTCTGGTATCTCGACATCACTGTTGCTCGAATTGGTCTGATTCAAGCTAACCAAACCAAGCAGATTTCTAGTGACCAGGCCAACTTCTCGAGACCCATCACCATCAGCACCATGCACAATTATGCTCTTTACTTTATCCTGCATAACTTTTCTCTTCTTTCTTGTCTGTCCCTTCCCAACTACTTCATCCACAACCTTCAGCTGCCTATCCAAGATTTCAAGAACGTCCATCAAAGCTTCCTCGGGTAAGTACTCAAACCTTGAGTCCCAAGTTTCAAAAACCCTTGGTGCCTTGTCGGCAACCTTCTCCTTGCCTTTCTCCCCCACCTTGCTCTCATCCTTTACTGTAATTTGGTTGCCTTTGTAATCCATCAGAACCTTAACAACCCTCTCCTTTTCCTCTGGCCACGTTTCAGTGGTGCCATCGGGATTAACACAGACCAGGCAAACAGGGACACCGCACAACGTTGCAAGCTCACTTGCTTTCTTCTTTAGCGTTTTCTTCCTATCCTCAAAAGACTTAATCTTTTGGTGTGGTGTCATTAGTCCTTGATTTCTTGCAGAGATAACAAAGAAAAAGGTGTAGCTGCTTTGTTTACAATGAACAAAGATGCAAAGAAAAGTAATGTTTTGGTGGGTTATATATGATGATTGAGAGAGTGATTTTATTACTTGTAGCGGCTGGATTTGGAAATCCGACTTAAATTCGGAGTATTAAGAAAAAAGGAAAATTTCTTTATTTATTTATTAAAAAAGGACTAATTTCGAAGAATATGAATTCGAATCAAATCCAATTGATAAACTATAACAATGAAATTAAGAAATCTTAATAATAAAAAGAATTCAAATTCCGTACATGTGTCACCGAATAAAAAAGGATTGTCCACATGTCGACATGCAGGTACTCAAGGTGAAAAAAAAAAAAGAATGTTTAATTTTAATAATTTGGATAAATAGCTTAATCCGTCTTTAAAATAAACTGAGTCTTCCGTTGGTTTCTAAATTTCTATTTGCATTTCATTAAAAAATTTTTGAAATATTCAATCATTCATTTTTTTTAGGATATTGTTCATGCAGTTTTTATAGTAAATATTCATTAAATCGGATCTGAAACAGGTCATTTATATCTTGAAATAATTTATAATTTTTTTTTGTAGAAAAAAAAATCCTCGCTCGGAATTAAATCTAAATAAATAAATTATTTATATTATGCCATATAGATTAGCAGGCTAGCTGGGCTAGCTGGGCTCAGGCCCTATGTATTACCCAAAAAACTATATATTCACAAAATTCTACGAAACAGGCAAAATCAAATTTTTATCCTTCCACCCTCAACTTTTCACATTTTTCAAACAGAGAGAGAGCTCCCAAAAAATGGCAGCCTCTAGAGCATCCAAACTTTTCGCGGCAGCAGCAGAGACGGTGAGTTCCTCAGCCCGAAAACAAGTTCTAAGCTTGACGGAAACCGCCGCCACCAGAATCCGCGACCTCTTGCAGCAGCGCCAACGCCCTTTCCTCCGTCTTGGCGTCAAAGCTCGCGGTTGCAATGGCTTGTCGTACACTCTTAATTACGCAGGTTCGGCTATAAAACCCTCAGTTTTTTTTTATTGGTTCATTAAAGTTGAAAAGATTGAAATTTTTGAGTTTTGTTTGATGGGATTTGATTGGTTAGTTGTAAAGTTTGAGATTTTTTTGGGTTTGATTTGAGAAGTTAGGTATATGGGGGTTTGGATATGTGGATTTGTGCTTAATTTGGATTTTTTGAAGTGGGGTTTTTTTGGTTTGAAGAAAATTTTGTTGATTTTTTGTTTTTTGATTGAAAGGTGCAGATGAGAAAGGGAAGTTTGATGAATTGGTTGAAGATAAAGGTGTGAAGATATTGATTGATCCAAAGGCACTGATGCATGTGATTGGAACTAAGATGGATTTTGTTGATGACAAGCTCAGGTAAAAGTTTAATTCTTAGGTTGAATTTCTTTGCATATATAGTGGTAATACATACATTAGGGTACATTTTGCAAATGATTTGTGCACTCTGCGCAATTCTTAGCTCAAGAATTTCCCATGTGTTATCATTTTTAGCTTTTTTAAGGAAATATTGGAGATATCTTGGTATATACAGGCATGGTTCAGTTCATACAGGCAATTTGTTGCTTGAATTATAAAGTTTGGTGTCAGGCAATTATAGGGATACTATGATCACCACAACTGGAATTTGAGATTTATAGTGTATTTTTTCCCCAACATGTTGCAAATTAACACCATTTGCAAAGGTAGTTGACAGTTCAATTTAATAGATGACATCAAATGTCCCTTGTTGATGTGCTAGAGGATGTGGTTTATTTCTAGGCTTGCATTGTTGTTTTTAAGCCAAGTAATTTCAGATTTAGGTGTTCGGGGAAAAATCATGGCACCACCCCCACCCCACCCGGCCCTGACCCCAATCCCCACTCCGTCTAAAGAATGATGATTCAATCCTTTTGATTCGTTGTTTTTCCTCTTTTTAATTGGTATCTTTTATTCGTAACTTGTACAGATCTGAGTTTATTTTCATCAATCCCAACTCCAAAGGGCAGTGTGGTTGTGGAGAGTCGTTTATGACAAGTAGTTCAAAAACAGCTAAAGGTGGTGGTAGTTAAGAACAATTTCATGTGCAATAACAAATAACAACATCAGGTTGTACCAGTGACAACAATAACAAAGCAATCATATTTATGTGGTCAGTATTCGTTCTCTCATTTTAGATGGATACTGGATATTTTGTAGTGTATACTATGAGAATTATCTCTTGTATGTTGAATGCAACATTGTAGATTCTTTAATTGTGTTCACCAAGAGTTGTGGATCTATTACAGTTCAGAAATTCTTTATTTGAAATAAGAGAACTGATGTATTCTTCCTAGCTCTTCTTCAATTTTTTTGAATTCAATTATTTTGCTCGTATGTTGGATAATTTCATTTTTGTGAAACATACTTGGTGCAGTTTAATTTTAACGTCCTTTTATCCCTGCACCTAAAATTTCTGCAAGGTGCTCAGTCCTATTATGTTTGGGTGTAAATCATGCTGAATAGCCATTTGCCTGTGTGTGGGTGTGGAAGTCAGGTCGAACCTGTGCAATGTTATACAGGAGACATAGAAAGCCCTGTAGAACTGCTTGAGGATTATCTTGAGAAATTGGATTGGACAACAAAAATATTAACAATGGAAATGGAAATAGCAACTTTTTTACTAATAGCAGTAGCAAGCACCAAGAGCGTGGATAGAAAATATCTGTACTTTGTAGTTCAAGGTTCCAATTCAGTTGCAGGTTCAACCTGCTTATTAACAGTTTCATGTAGCAAGTCAACAACATGAACCATCATGTCCATAGATCAGATTTTGATGTCCAAACACACCATCATGCTGCTATATTTTAACAGATCAATCACAAGGGAAAAAGGAATGGCAGTGCTTAAGCCACAGATGCGCTACACTAGATAATAGTCTGCAGCACATCAATGAAGCATGTCAATCACATCTGTTTAGATAGCGGGCGTCCAGAAGCAGTTGACGGAACTGCAGAACTTTCATTCATTACTTCATTTCTCTTAGGAATAGATAGCCGGTGCTTTGACCATTCTTCCAAGGCATTGTGATGGACGGAGTTCATTGAAATACAAGGTCGTCTTTCTCTTATGAACTGCTCAGCCTTTTTCCAATCTTCCACCACGCCTAAAGCCACCAGCAGTGCGGACGCCACCGCAACACTTCTTCCATGACCTAAAGGAACAATAAGCGATTAATTGTGATACGAAAAGGGCTGATCTGGTTAAACTGGAATGCTTCAAGGAAAAGAATAAGGCCATAAATAGCAGAGTTTAGTTACTAAATGGAGTTTATAATTCCAATACCATTCATTCAAAAGAAAAATGTGAACCCAGGTGAACACAATAGGTGTCAATATCTCATGACCCAAGTTGGGATGAAGCCACAGTATGACGAGGCCAATTTCTAGTTACAACTTACATTAAATATGATCCTACAAACCATTGATCAATGTTAAAAACCTGAAGGATTTTTCATTTATTTTCTTCACATCAGATAACCAGGATTTATTTTGTCATTAGGTTGTTCATGAATCATGCTACCACAACTCCACAAGAAGGAATGTCTTAAATACTACACGAGTACGTACTAGTCGGTTTCCCACGCTACGTGATGGATCAAACTAAATATATTTATTTTACTTTGATAGTTTACACTATGTTGTCGGTCAACTAAAGTATATTAAATTAAAAAAAAAATTCATCTAATTTAATACTTTTTAATCAAGATTTTGAATTTCATTTTTTTATAATTTTTTTTTGTTAAAAAATATGATTTGTTATTCGTTATACATTCATTTTTAAATAAAAATCTATAATAATGTAAGTAAAAACTCTAATACAACATTTCAAAAACCGTCTTAATATTTTTATATAAGATTAAATAGAAAAAATAAATCAACAATCAATAAAAAAATATATATACAAATTAGCTAACTAATCTTTTTTTAACTTTTTAAAAACATGCACATTTGATTTATTATATTTATTTGCAAAAAAATCAATAATATTATTATAAAAAATATATATTTGAATTATTAGATGGTTCTTTTAAGATATTATTTTATTTGAAAAAAAATTATTTTAGAGTATTTTAAAAAATTAATAGCAAATAGTTGGGCTTATGTGTGTAGATGCATAGTTAATTTTTAATAAAAGCAACGATCTCAATATGTTTTTTTACATCATGATCATAGTCATTGGATTGGTATGCGGTATAAATAAAAAAATATTTTTAAGAAAACTTAAATTGCAAGGAATATATTGAAATTAAGAAAATGTAATAAAAATAACTAAAAAATTTATTCCAATAGAATTTGATTATATCAAGAATAAGCAAATAAAACACATGAATTCTATTATTTAATTGATAATTCATTTGTTTTTTGAAAAACATTATTCAAAATTCTATACATAGATAAAAATAAATTATATTTATTGATAAATAAAATTATATAAAAAAATAAAAAAATTAATTTTATGAGAATTCCTATAAGAAATGACAAATTGAAGAGGTTAATTTTAAACAATAAGAATAACATAATTCAATGTATAGGTTAATTTAAAAATCTGAAAATATTGAGGGCTAAAACTATCTTTTGGGAAAGCAAAAATATCTTTTTGGAACAATGAAGGATCAAAATGGAATAAAGTGAAAATATGAGGTTGCAAAAAAAATATTTTAAAAAAACGGACCAAAAATATTTTTTGAGAAATATTAAGGATAAATATAATGCAAAATTTGCACATGAACGCCCAAAATCAACTAAGAAATCATGAAAATGCCACCATAAGAATTACCAAAATTACCACACCCAATGAATAGTGAATAAATAGTAACTTGTGAGAGAATAAATAGTAATTGTTATTCATTTTCTCCATCTCTTTTAGGTGTTTTTGTTAATAGTCATACAATCAAACCCTGGCTTGGAGCTAAACCGAGTGATTAGCATATTACAGAAGTAAAGGTCGCTCCTGCATCCCTACATGAGAAATTAGCGTGTATATATAATAGCTATTCATTGAGTCAATTGAGTCAATATTTAAAGAGAGAAATAGACATATAAAAAAAATCATCCATAAAAAATGATAAAACAATTTTTCCGTCGACTCAAATTTTTCTCTCTCTTTTTTTAGTCTATTTCTCTTTAGTATTATAAAATTTCTAGCCCTGCATATATCCATGTAATTACCTAAATTGTGACACTTCAGTGCTGATTACCTTTGCCTAGATAAAACAACTTACAAGTGCATATATTACTATGATAGGAAAGAAATGACTGCCAGTGTGAAACGATTAACAAAGACAGGATTTCAGCTCAGCCATATCAAACGAGTACAATCAATCAACACACAAAATTAACAACACCAAATGCAGCAAAATTGTATAAAACAACCCCCATGTAATGTAAAAAAAGGAAAAAAATGAAAAGAAAAAGGTCTTTACAATCCAAAATCATACCATAAGCACAGTGAATGAAAATAGGCCTATTCTGAGCTCTTTTCCTGCAAGCCCACCTGACAGCAGATTCAATCTCTCCAGGCTGAGGTGCCCTAGTATCCCAGGTTGGAACACACAGATAAGGATGACCTTTAAACTCCTCTTTTCTTGGAAACTCACAAGTACAATCTATAATAGCAGGATTACCAGGTGGCAATTTATCAACAGAAAAAGGCCACCCACCAACATAAACACCCTCACAAATCTCATTATAAGGCTCCTCGCCACTAGTAAACCTACGTAGATATGAAAACAATCTAGCAAAATATAAGAATGGACTAAAAATTATAAGTGACCAAATGGGGAAAGTCCCATCTGGGTTTTTGCTTAAAAGCAGGGGGAGATTGATTGATGGAAGAGAAGCTAGTGATACAAGCAATGATACTAATGAGGCGTACAAAAATGGCAACGACAATAAAGTGAAGTCAAGATTTTGAAGAGAGACGAAGATGAGGAACAGTACTGTTGCTTTTATCCCTAAGAAGACTGATATGCCTACACCCATTTTTTGGCTCTGCAAGATTGACAAGAAAACAAGAATTGAATGGTGTTCAATGGATTCTTTGTTGCTTTTGCGTCTTGAAATATATGGGGGAAGATCTTAAGAGAGAAGATAACAAGCAAGTCAGGTAAACGGAGACCTGAGAGTGGAGAGAAAATGGTGTGCAGTTTCTTTGAGAAGAAATAACAAATAAGTCCCACGTTTATTTGAAAATTATTACTTAGTCCCTAAACTATGTATTTTCTTTTGCAACCGGTGGAATGGTGAGTAAACGGATTAAATAGTCTCTGTTGATCGGAAACTAATTAATTAGTTTTTTTTATCTGTACTGATCATGATTGATTTAATATCATTTTAAAAAATATATATTTTTTTTATAATTTTTCTATATTTTTACGTATATTTTCTTTTTCTTTTTCTTTAAAAAAATTGAAAAAAAAAGTTACAAATAAATTTAAAAATCTAGAGACTATATTAGTTTTTTAAAATACTATTTAATTCATTTTAAAAAACTAGATATACTAATTTATAATTTATTTTGTGGAATGGTGGATTTTCGTATTAGTTTTTACATATCTAAATTAAATTTATCAGTTTAATTTGACTTGCCATTTATATCTATATAAAGAAATTCATAAAAAAAATATTTTTTTGAATCCTAATAGTCAAGAAATTAAATATAGCTCGTAATTATATTTCTTTTGATATTAGTATCGAGTTAGTGTAAAAGTATTTATGATCATTTTAAATGAAAAATTCATGATTAATTCCTTCAAGTTTCCTTTTATTCTATTATTCATGAACTTAGTTTGCAAGAACTAGAAGAAAAGAAAAGAAAATTCTTGTCCAAGCACTTAAAACGCTTAAAAACTCAACAACGAAGCATAGCAATATTCAAACTAAGGATCTAATGCTAAAAATCATATGTACTCAGAAGTAAATTGACACACACATGTGAGAACCTATTATTTACCGAGCAAATAAAGAAAATAAAAACAGAACTTCGTTTTAGTTCTTCAAGTGATATTGTTCCCTTTTCTCCTTAGAAAATATCACATAAAAAACCCATTAATAAAAAAGAAAAAATTAGGTACTAGTTCTTGAATTTCATTCGATTAGACCCACTTATCCCATCTTGCTTGTACCATCAGGCGGCTGTTGCTTTTTCTTCCATTGATTCCTAGCCACAATGACCCTTTGCATAGCTTCCACAAATTTTGCTGTTACCTTGTGTATCTTTTGTGCACCTTCTTTGTCACATATTGTTTCCCTCCAATTGCCGGATTCCGATGGAGGGAACAACAACTCATCTTGCTCGAGCTTGCACTTAGGAAGCTTCACATACTTCATTTCATCAATTGGAAAATCAATATTTTCCTATTTTCCTTGCTCAACATTGTTGAAAAAAATAATTAATGTGTGGGTCAATTATATTATTAATTGGGTGTTATAGACTACCATAAAAAGATTAGCTCATTTAAAGTTATATGATAAGATTTTAACTTGTTTAAGCTTTATATGTGTAGATACCAAAGTCTAATTTTTATTTTTATGATGGGCTAAAATAATCATAAAAATAAAAATTAGACCTAAGACAGATTATTATATACATAAGATTATCGTCTCCAAGTCATAGGTAGGGTTTTTTATTCTAACATCCCATCATCGGATAGAATATAGAGGTAATTTTTTTTAAAAAAAGAAATCATATAGACTTGGAAGATCAAGAAGTGCAAAAGCCATAATAAAGTTTATTCTTATAAATTCAAGCACGTTTCCGCTTTAATTTTTTTCTTTAACGATTTAACATGAAATCTTGATATATATATATATATATATATATATATATATATATATATATATATATGATGATGATGATGAATGTACACATGTAATTCAAATTTGCTTAATTGATTTCAGTTTTCAACTTTTTTGGGGAATGTTTTTTTTTCTTTTATCATATCTGTATCTTTTCTTACCAATGCAAAGTTTGTTTTCTCACAGTCCAAAAGAAATTAAAGGAACAACTAGGTCAGTTGGGCCTAAGAGAAGCTAAAGCTCGTACGGTTTAGGGTTACTCATATAATATTCAATTGGGCTGGATAAATATGGATTGAGTTGACCCGACTGACCCAAACAATTGACTTGAGTCAAACTAGTTGACCCAAATCGACCTGGACAAAAATTGATTGAGCCGACCCGACCAGTACATTGACTTTGACCTGACTTTGACCATTGATTTTGATTGTTGACTTTTACTGTTGAATTTTTTTATTTTTTATTATTTTTGGTGTTGATCGGCTGAGTCGGGCTGTGTGTGTGTGTGATTCGTGCAGATATTGATCGACCTAAAGAAAGGTCAATATTTAACCGAATTATATGTATAATTGTAAAAAATAAATATTGTATGCTTAATTCATATGGATGTTGACCGACTTAAAGAAAGGTCAGTATTTAGCCGAATTACATGCACATCTATGATAATAAATATGTGATAATTATAAGGTACTCTATGTGAGCAATAAGTCTAATCTAAAGAAAAGCTTGTTAAGGTATTCTACGTGAAACATATTTGGTGCAGTTTAATTTTAATATTCTATAATCCCTGCATCTAAAATTTCTGCAAGGTTCTCAGTCTCATTATGTTTGGGTGAAAATCATGTTGAAGACCTATAGCTCTGTCGTGAATGGTGCAAGGAATCCAAGTTAGAATTGACTCTCAAGCTATTTTCCTGTGTGTAGGTGTGAAGTCAGGTTGAACCAATGCAATGTTATACTTGACTTTGACTGTGACTTTTCATACGTGACTTTGATTGTTGATTTTGAAATGTTGACTTTTACTGTTGAATTTTATTATTATTATTATTTTTGGTGTTGATCGGTTGAGTAAGGCAATATGTGTGTAATTCATGCGGATATTGATCGGCCTGAAGAAAGTTCAATATTTGGCCAAATTATATGCATATTTGTGGAAAATAAATAGAGTATGTGTAATTTATGCGGATGTTGACCGACTCAAAGGAAGGTCAGTATTTGACCGAATTACATGCACGCCTATAATAATAAATATGTGATAATTATAAGGTACTCTATGTGAGTAATAAGTGTAATCTAAAGAAAAACTTGTTAAGGTGTCCTATGTTAAACATACCTGGTGCAGTTTAATTTTAATGTTCTATAATCCTTGCACCTAAAATTTCTGCAAGGTTATCTGTCCCATCATGTTTGGGTGAAAATCATGTTGAAGACCTATAGCTCTGCTGTGAATGGTGCAAGGAATCCAGGTTAGAATTAACCCTCAAGCTATTTTCCTGTGTGTGGGTGAAGTCAGGTTGAAACAGTGCAATTTAACACTTGGGTCTGACTAAAATTCATACTGGAGATGGGGGGCATCATGGTCAGGAAATGCTGAAGAGAAGAAACAGCCATGTAAAGAATCATTGAAGAGAATTGTTTAAAACTTTTGCTGGCCTTTGTATTTAGCTCATGGAAGATTTTGACTAGGCTTATCATAGCAATAGTTCTTGAAATTAGTTAAAATGCAGCTGCTATGCTGCCACCACTCTTAGAATTAGCCTCATGGTTAGGTGCAATCGAATCAGCTATATTTCAGTACCAAAATTGTTGATCACGCCGTCAGATGAAGCAGCACACTTCTTATGCTGGCAAAAAATGGCACTGAACCTCCACAATAACCTCTCGAGCAAAAACTTCCCCACAGCCTCGATACTGGGGGGCGGGCAAAAGCAGGAAAGCAGCAAAATAAGATCGATCAACCAACATAATTATGAAACGCCTGCCAAAAACATGGTGAAAGAAATGGGAAATGAACTCTACAAACAAGTACAAATGGGAAGGGTGTAAATCATGGCGGTCCAGATGTGTAGGAGACATAGAAAGCCCTGTAGAACTGCTTGAGGATTGTCTTGAAAAATTGGATTGAACAATAAAAATATTAACAATGGAAATGGAAATCGCAACATTTTTACTAGTAGCACTAGCAAGCACCAAGTGAGTAGATTGAAACTGTCTGTACTTCGTAGTTCCAGGTTCCTATTCAGGTGCAAATTCAACCTGCTCATTAACATTTTCATGTATCAAGTCAACAAGATGTTTACCATCATGTTCATAGATCAAATTTTGTTATCCAAACACCATCATGCAGCTAAATTTAAACAAATCAATCACAAGGGAAAAGGAATAGCTGTGCTTAAGCCACATTTGTGCTACCCCAAATAATAGTCTGCAGCACATCAATGGCGCATGTCAATCGCTTCTGTTTTTCGTCCCATCAGATCGTGGGCGCCCAGAAGCACTTGATGGTACTCCAGAACTTCCATTCATTACTTCATTTCTCTTAGGAGTAGATAACCGGTGCTTTGACCATTCTTCCAAGGCATTGTAATGGACGGAGTTCATTGAAATACAAGGTCGTCTCTCTCTTATGAACTGCTCAGCCTTTTTCCAATCTTCCACCACGCCTAAAGCCACCAGCAGTGCAGACGTCACAGCAACACTTCTTCCATGACCTAAAGGAACAATAAGCGATTAATTGTGATACAAAAAGGGCTAATCTGGTTAAGCTGGAATGCTTCAAGGAAAAGAATAAGGCCATAAATGGCAGAGTTTAGTTACTAAAAGTAGCTTATAATTCCAATACCATTCATTCAAAAGAAAAATGAGAACCCAGGTAAACAGAATAAGAAAGTATCAATATCTCATGACCCAAGTTGTGATGAAGCCACAGTATTAGGAGGCCAATTTCTAGTTACAACTTGCATTAAATATGATCCTACAAACCGTTGATCAATGTTAAAAACCTGATGGATTTTTCAGTTATTTTCTTCACATTAGATAACCAGGATCTATTTTGTCATTAGTTTGTTCATGAATCATGCTACCACAAGAAGGAATGTCTTAAATACTACATAGTAAATATAATCATACAATCAAAGCCTGGAAAAAATCTTTTCAGAGAATCACACAGCCTTTGCTTGGAGCTAAACCAAGTGATTAGCAGATTAAAGTAAAGGTCACCCAGCAGCCCTGCCTGAGAAATTTTATACTACTCAAAGAGTAATTAGTATACATGCATAGTAGTTATTACTTGGACCCATTTTTTAAGAGAGAGATGTGCACATAACAAAAAAATCACATCCGCAGACCCATCAAGATTTCCGCGTTGGCTCAAATTTCTTTTTTCTAATTTTCTCTCTTCTATTTCTCTATCTTTTTGTTTCTATCTTTCTATTTACACTAATTCTCCATGAGTATTATAAAATTTCTCGCTGTAATTACCTAAATCGTAACACTTCACTGCTGATTACCTTCGCCTAGATAAAACAACTTACAATTGCACATATTACCATGATATGAAAGAAATGACTGCCAGTATAAATGCTTAACAAAGAACGGATTTCAGCACAGCAATATCAAACAAGTACAATCAATCAATACACAAAATTAAAAACACCAAATGCAGCAAAATTGTATAAAACCACCATGTAATGTAACAAAAGAAGAGGTATTTACAATCCAAAAATCATACCATAAGCACAGTGAATGAAAACAGGCCTATTCTGAGCTCTTTTCCTCAAAGCCCACTTGACAGCAGATTCAATCTCTCCAGGCTGAGGTGCCCTAGTATCCCAGGTTGGAACACACAAATAAGGATGCCCTTTAAACTCCTCTTTTCTTGGAAACTCACAAGTACAATCTATAATAGCAGGATTACCAGGTGGCAATTTATCAACAGAAGAAGGCCACCCACCAACATAAACACCCTCACAAATCTCAGTATAGGGCTCCTCGCCACTAGTAAACCTACGTAGATATGAAAACAATCTAACAAAGTATAAGTATGGACTAAAAATTATAAGTGACCAAATAGGGAAAGTCCCATCTGGGTTTTTGCTTAAAAGCAGGGGGAGATTGATTGATGGAAGAGAAGCTAGTGATACAAGCAATGATACTAATGAGGCATACAAGAATGGCAACGACAATAAAGTGAAGTCAAGGTTTTGAAGAGAGACGAAGATGAGGAACAGTACTGTTGCTTTTATCCCTAACAAGACTGATATACCTACACCCATTTTTTGGTTCTGCAAGATTGACAAGAAAACAAGAATTGAATGGTGTTCAATAGATTCTTTGTTGCTTTTGCGTCTTGAAATATATGGGGGAAGATCTTAAGAGAGAAGATAACAAGCAAGTCAGGTAAATGGAAACATGAAAGTGAAAAGAGAAAACGGTGTGCAGTTTCTTTCAGAAGTAATAACAAATTAGTCCTATGTTTATTTAACAATTGTTACTTAGTCCCTAAACTATGTATTTTCTTTTGCAACCGGTGGGATGGTGAATAAATTATAAATTAGTTTTTTTAGTTTTACAAAACGAATTAAACAGTCTGTATTAATAGGAAATTAATTAATTAGTTTTTTATCTGATAATATTTAATTGAATATTATTTTATTTTAAAAAATATTTATTCTGTATTTTTACTTATTTTTTTTACTTTTATTTTTCTTAACAAAAAATAAATTGAAAAAAAAGAAAATAATTAAGTTATAAATAATTTCAAAAATCTAGAAACCATATTAATTTTTTAAACTACTGTTTAATTCGTTTTAAAAAAATAGACAGGTGTGGAATGATGGATCATGTACTAAATTGTTTTTACATATCGAGACTAAATTCATTTGTTTAATTTGACTTATCATTTATATCTATATAAAGAAATTCATTAAAAAATTATTTTTTTGAATCCTAATGGTCAAGAAAATAAATATACCTCATAATTATATTTCTTTTGGTATTAATATCGAGTTAGCGTAGAAGTATTTATAATCATTTTAAATGAAAAATTCATGATTAATTCCTTCGAGTTTCCTTTTATTCTATCATTCATGAACTTAATTTGCAAGAACTAGAAGAAAAGAAAAGAAGATTCTTGTCCAAGCACTTCAAACTCTTAAAAACTCAACAACGAAGCAAACCAATATTCAAAACAAAGGATCTAATGCTAAAAATCATATATACTCAAAAGCAAATTGACACACACACACATAAGAGGACCTATTGTTTATTGAGAAAATAAAGAAAATAAAAACAGAAATTCATTTTAGTTCTTCAAGTGATATCGTTCCCCCTTCTCCTTAGAAAATATCACATAAAAAACCCATTAATAAAAAGAAAAAATTAGGTCCTAGTTCTTGAATTTCATTCAGTTAGACCCACTTATCCCATCTTGCTTGTACCATCAGGCGGCTGTTGCTTTTTCTTCAATTGATCCCTAGCCACAATGACCCTTTGCATAGCTTCCACAAATTTTGCTGTCACCTTGTGTATCTTTTGTGCACCTCCTTTGTCACATATTGTTTCCCTCCGATTACCGGATTCCGATGGAGGGAACAACAACTCATCTTGCTGGAGCTTGCACTTACGAAGCTTCACATACTTCATTTCATCAATTGGAAGATCAACATTTTCCTATTTCCCTTGCTCGACATTTTATAGTTGAATTTGGGGTGTCATAGAGGATAAAACATAGGTTAGGACAACAACCTCTCTAAGACATTACAAGTTTTGTCTTCAACAATGCAATCAAAAATTTAAGATAACGTATGGGCAAGTTTGATTTTATAGTTTTTATTCAACGATTTAAAGGTTACATGTGTTTCATGGTTTTTATTTGGCCACCTAAGTAGTTTAGAAATTTCACCAAGCTCAAACCACCAAACTTTGACATATATGTATGTCTATTTGATTTTCAGGTAAATTAAACTTCTATTTCAATGTTTTTTTTCTTTTTCTTTTTCTTTTTTTAATAAAGACAAATTGTCAAAGAAGAAATGGCAGCATCAAACATTGAGTAAAGTATAAATTAGTCCCTCTAATATCAAGAAATGGATTAATTGATCTCGCTTGTTTTAAAAATTAATTATTTGATTTATTGATTAATTTTGATCATATTTAATCTAATATTATTTTATTTTTAAAATATTTTTTTCTCATCAATCCTTTCATAATATCTATGTATTTTTCTATTTTTTAAATAAAAAATTATAAAAATTATAAAATAATATAAATGGATTAAAATGACTAAATAATTATTTTTAAAATAGAAGGGATTAATTAATTTGTTTCTAAAACTAAGGGAGTAATTTATAATTTACTCTAAAAACAAAGCTAGGTGCCAGTGGGATGCTGCCTGACTGGGCCGAAACTATACCGAAATATGGCCCATACGTTATAAGGACCAACGGAAAAACCTCGGTCCAACTTTAGGCCTAAATTTCATGAATCTTAATTAGGGATTGATAAGGTCGGGTCGGATTTTTACCAGACCACGTCTCGGTGATTTTAGGATTGGATCGGGTTTCTTTTTAATTTTTAATATATCATGTATAAGAAACTCCAAAGTTTAAAATGGTCCCTATAGTTTAGTATTTATTTCATATAAGTTTTAATACTTTATACATCATAGTTCTTTTTAGATAAAACAAGCTACATTTTAATCCATATTTTATTATATATTTGTCCTTCGTTGAGACTCTTTCAACTTGTAACTCTGCCCTTGTTAGGATTCATGAGATTATAAACGGGCAAGGCTAGCCCATCAAGCGTGGCCTAATTCGAAGCCCAAATCCAACGGTTCCTTAAGCCGAGGGAAGTTGCTTGGCAGAGGAATGGAACCTTTCAGCTCTAGACAATCACAAGCTTAAAGAATTGTTTGTTAATTAATCACCATTGCATTTGATAAAATCTTAAACCCAATTTCTTTCCTGTTTTTGCAAAACGAAGCTGAATTTTAGTTCAGTTAACGGTACTATGGCACAACTTACATGGGTTGATGAGAGCATTTTGTTTTTCTTGTGCCGGCAACTTAAATGCGTACAAGGATGACCCATTTCCCTGGATCTCAGTGCAGAATGGCATGCAAGAAGGTTTTTTTTTAAAAAAAAAAGAAAAGAAAAGAAAAGAAAAATTATAAACGATTGAATTATCACATTGTACGTTTTTAAATAAGAAAACCTTCACCAGGATCATGATTTAAGCTTGAAAGAAATCATTTTGGGCCTTTTTTTTGGGTTTGCTTGTCACCTCTCTTTCTCTGAACCCTAGCTGGTACATGCTTTAAAGAACTTCTTGGGATTTCGAATCATGACTCGAATGGAAAATGAAAAGTCTTGTGATCTTTGAGTACACAAGTGGCAATCATTTTACAATCATGTATGATTATCATGATGCCTAGTCCCCGCGAGTATCATCCTTTTGTAAATAAAAAAATCATGGGAAAATAGAGGAAGTATACTCTACACATTGAATATTAATGACAACTAAGGTGCTCATTGCCTAAACCGCTAACTGATTGGTATGCTACAGCATCATAGAAATTCTCCTTTGCCAAATCTCTCTAGCTGGATGATGAAGACATTGGAAACAATGTCCAAGTAATATCAATTTATTTGTTTATTTTCTTCAAGATACAGCAACCAAGGCATCAAATGATTACAGATGCCACCGAAGTGTGTATAGCAATATAATTAATCGAAATTATGCTCTTCATGTCTGCAAGCACATATATGACTAGTTTAATTATACGTCTCTCTTGGAACCTCAGATCAGGATATAACTAAAATATTTTCAATTATGCAAGGATCCCACAATGAAATCTGGAAATCTAATTCTGAATGGTTTATTTTGACATTAAGAGAATCACTTTTTTGGTGTTAAGCATCATGCAACTGACATTATTAATTAGTTAACATGCATTCCATGTTCAACATATGGAACTCTGCATGTAGAGAGAGAGAGAGAGGTGAATTTCATTACTCACTAGATAATGCGGATCAATAGGCATTAGAATTCATGGAACAGTTTGAGCGCGATAAAAACTAAGTAAAATTGTCGACTCAATTTTAAGGGCTTTTTGGATCTAATTTAATGACAAATGGATCAACAACCAAAACTCATAACTTTGCAATGACGTAGGGTGATTTTGATAAAAAAAAACATCTTTTAAGTCCTCAAAAATAGCTTTTAATGTTTTTTGGATTTTTCTAATTATTTTCGGATTTTTTAGTTTTTGTTTCCCTTTTAAATTGTTTTAGGGTTTTGATCAAAATTTATTATTTATGTATGATTTTGAGATTAAAAACGCTACTTTTACTTGATTAATAAACTTTTGTGAGAGAATATCTTAGTTTTATCCAATTTCGACATTCTTTGAATCAATGAGATTGAAATTTATTTTCTAATATTTGTATGTAATTTAACAAATTATAGGAGATGGATATCTAGATTTCAAATCAACAATATTTCTTCTTAACTTCTGTTACGTCACTAGACCAGATCATCATAGTTTTATTACAAAGGAAATGATAAATGTTACTTTATTGCATATTTGATGCTGAAAAAAGTTATGACAAGGGATACGTGGGGATGGACTATACATCACAAAAACTCCCTCGTCTAGGAGATTTTCTTTTGATATTAATACTGAGTTAACTTCTAAATATATATGATCACTTTTAAATGAAAAAACCATTTTTTACTCCTTTAAGTTTCCTTTTATTCTATTATTCATGAACTTAGTTTGCGATATCTTGAAGAAAAGAAAAGAAAAATTCTTGTCCAAGCGCTTAAAAATCAACAAGGAAGCAAACCAATATTCAAAGAAAGGATCCAATGCTAAAATTCGTAAGTACTCAAAGGTAGAATTGCCACACACGCAAAGGAGGACCTATTTTTTTATTGAGCAAATAAAGAAAATAAAAACAGAACTTCTTTTTACTTCTTCAGGTGATGTTGTCCCCTTTTCTCCTTAGAAAATATCACATAAAAAACCCATTAATAAAAAAGAAAAAAATAGGTCCTAGTTCTTTAATTTCATTCAATTAGACCCACTTATTCCATCTCGCGTGTACCATCAGCCGGCCGTTGCCTTTTCTTCCATTGATCCCTAGCCACAATGACCCTTTGCATAGCTTCCACAAATTTTGCTGTTACCTTGTGTATCTTTTGTGCACCTTTTTTGTCATATATTGTTTCCCTCCGATTGCCGGATTCCGATGGAGGGAACAACAACTCATCTTGCTCGAGCTTGTAATTGCGAACCTTCGCAAACTTCATTTCATCAATTGGAAAATCAACGTTTTCCTATTTTCCTTGCTCAACATTTTATAGTTCAAGTTGGGGTGTCATAGAGGATAAAAACATAGGCTAGGACAACACAGCAACCTCTTTAAAACATTACAAGTTTTGTCTTCAACCATGCAATAAAAAATTTAAGATAACGTATGGACAAAGTTGATTTTATAGTTTTTATTCAACAATTTGAAGGTTAAATGTTTTTCATGGTTTTTATTTGGCCACCTGAGTAGTTTAGAAATTTCACCAAGCTCAAACCACCGAACTTTCACATATTAAAGTTCTATGTTTTTTTCTTTTACTAAATTAAACTTCTATTTCTATGTTTTTTTCTTTTACTTTTTTTTAATAAAGAAAAATTGTCAAAAAAGAAATGCCAGCATCAAACATTGAGTGAAGTATAAATTAGTCCCTCTAATTTTAAGAAATGGATTGATAGGTCTCGTTTTTTTAAAAAAATTAATTATTTGGTTTATTGATTCATGTTGGTCGTGTTTAATCTAATACTATTTTATTTCAAAAAAATATTTTTTTCATCAATCCTTTCATAATATCTATTTATTTTTATCAATTTTCTATTTTTTAATTAAATAGTAAAAAAATTAGAAAATAATATAAATGGATTAAAATGACTGAATAAGTGTTTTTTAAAATACAAGGGACTAATTAATTTGTTTCTAAAAACAAAGCTAGGTGCCAGTGGCATGCTGCCTGACTGGGCCGAAACATGGCCCATACGTTATAAGGACCAATGGAAGAACCTCGGTCCAACTTTAGGCCTAAGTTTCATGAATCTTAATTAGGGATGATAAGGCCGGGTCGGATTTGGTTTCTTAGATGGATCTGGTTTCTTTTACCAGACCACTGATTTTAGTTTCGGATCTGGTTTCTGTTTAATTTTTAATATATCATGTATAAAAAAAACTCCAAAGTTTCAAAGGGTCCCTGTTTTTTAGTATTTATTTCATATAAGTTTTAATATTTTATATATCACAGTTCTTAATAAAAAAAGCTACATTTTAATCCATATTTTTTTAGATATCTGTCCTTCGTTAAGACTCTTTCAATTTGTTATCAGTTCTTGGTTAGGATTCTTGAGCATAGCACACTCCCCTTTCATTTTCTATCGAATCGGATTTTTTCTTAGATGGATATCCCTCAAGTTGGTTCAAAATCTCCAAGATCCAAATATAGAGAATAAATTATAAATTAGCCTATATGGTTTTAAGAAATGAATTAATTAATATTTTTTATTTCAAAAATTAATTATTTTATTTTTTTAACTAATATTAATCACGTTTAATTTAAGATCTTAAATCTTATTATTAAAATTTGGTAATTTGAATAATGAATCTTTGATTGATGGGATATTTCAAACATCCGGCTTATCTTTACAAAATCACCAAATTGCAATGATTTGTGTGATATGAGAAATTTTAAATTACTTTAAGAGCAAATAACAATACTTACTATAGTTACGCTATCGAAAAAAAAAAAAAAAGGACAGAAAATGACATTCAAACCCACCCACGAGCATTTTAAGATTGGGTTGGTGCCCATCCTCTCTGAATTTTGCTCTAAATATCCGTCATGCATCTGAAGCCCAACTGATTAACCCGTACCTTATTCAAACGAAGGCCCAAAAAATTCCTCATGGGTCATCAAGAGAGGTCCGTCATAGGTGGCCCATGGGCCATGACTGTTTAGAAAACATCAAAACAGTTTCTATACCTTTCTCCTCTCCGTCTCTCTCACTGATCAATTTCTCTAATAAATTGTTACTGATAATTACCTCGAAAAGAATTAGCTTTGTTTCTCAAAAATACCCTTTGGGAAAAAGTATTTTACCCTTGTTTTTTCGCTTATATATATTGTAAAATCTACGTGTCAGTTCACAGAGATTTTTCAAATTAGTAATCCATCTATTCTTATTTTCAATTAAGGGTAGATTAATCAACGGAAAAAACAAAAAAACAACAACTCATATTTTCAAATTACAAGTCAACCAGAGCTTGAGGTCGCAGCCTAATGGTGAGGTTGAGGGTCGCTCACCGATGATTCCGGAGTTCGATTCTCTCGCGCACGCCTATCACTCCCGCGATGCTTTAAGCTGCTCACCGGGCTTGCGGGGTGTTTAGTGGGTTCGGGGATTAGTCGAAATGCGCGCAAGTTGGCTCTGGACACCCCGGGTTGTCAAAAAAAAAAAAAATTACAAGTAAGCCATATTAACAAAGTAATTCGTTACTAGTTGGAGATTTCATTACAATGTGGAAAGGGTAGATCTAAATTCCAGGACTAGTCTACATATATATTCAAGCTTGTACAAAAGATACAGTAACTAGTTCAATCCAGATGCTATCATATCTGGTTCTGATATTCACCAATCTTCAAAACTTTGAATTAAGGGAAAAAAAATGTAAATTCCACTGCATCAAATTACCTAAAAGCACATGTATGAACTACGATCCTGAAGTTATCATACGTATGGCATGGATTCGATTCACCACCCTTGCAAATTCTGAAATACCCTGAAATTAAGCGGGAAAGCAAAGCCAAGTAAAAGTGTAACTATGTGAAATAAGAGCAATCTTAAATTATTTTCAGTTGTTTACCATACAAATTATCCTACTACTATAATTCTGTAATAGTATCTTACCAGATGCCGCCACCTTCATCCTCAAATCCAATCCAAAAAGCTAAGGTCAGAGGACGGCATTCGGATGATCAATTGGGCAAAACTATACCATGTTATCTGTAACAACAGTATAAAAACACTCCAAGACGAAAAATATCATCTTTGGGAATCATCCCCACAGCAGCAATTTTTTCTGCTAAGGTATGACAGTAGCTGTAAAAAATGTAAAAAACAATCGGATAAAAATCATCTATAGCCAAAAAACGAAAAATGAAAAAACTTACGGTGTCCAAATTCTCCCATTTTCACTCTATTGTAATCAAGAGAGACGTTTTTCCAAATGCAAATCTCCGTTTATGATCCCATTAAAATGTATCTGGATTTGGGTTGACTCATGACAGAGATTTTAATGGGATCATACACGCAGATTTGCATTGGAAAAGCGTTTTTCTTTTCCAATGCAAATCTCCATTTAGATCCCTTTAAAATGTATCTGAGCAGATTGACTCATCTGAAAGAAAATTTTCACTCTAATAGAATAAAGAAAAACGTTTTTGCAATGCAAATCGTATGATACCATTAAAAGGTATGATCATCACCTTTTATGAATGACAATTTTTTTTTTTAATATCATTAGTAATTCACATTAATCACATGTATTCAATTTTTTTTTTTTGGACACATTCTGAACCAGAAAACATGAGTAAATTATAAATTAGTCCCTCTAGTTTAGAAAAATAAATTGATTAGTTTCTATTGTTTCAAAAACTAATTATTTAATCTCCGTATTTTTTATTTTTTTAGAACTTAATTTTTTTCTTTTTCCATTTATTTTGATTTTTTATTTTATAAAAAAATGAAATGTTTACAAAAAAGAGGACATTTTTTTGAAGTAAAATAATATTAAAAACAATTAAATAATTGATATTTACAATAAAATAAACTAATTAATTCGATTCTAAAAGATACAAAGATTAATTTATGATTTACTTGAAAAAACATTGGATCTTATGCGAGGACTACAAAAGAATGAAATAAAATATTGAATCTCATATATCAAAAAAGTCTTTTTCTTCTCATTACTTTTTTCATTTTTTAAAACAAAAAATAAAAAATGAAGTGAAAAGAAATAAAAATAATTAAATTAAAAGTAGATTTAAATATATAAAGACTAAATAGTTGTTTTTAAAACAAAAACAACTAGTAATTTATTTCTTAAACCTAGAGGGATTAATTTATAATTAACCCATAAAGTTTGCCGGCCTCTCTCTCGTCCTTTGGTCTCTCCCTGACTCCCTCTACTCTTCCAGCCTTTAATTCTCGTTAAGCAAGACACTGTTTATATATATATAATCTACTACGAGACAGAGAAAAGAAGAGCTGTCCTGTCTCCTGTGCTGTAGTGATAACAATGGAGAAAGGGGTGAAAAGATGGTTGGTGGACACATCAAAGTGGAACCCAACTCCCCATGACTTCTCTTTAGCACTGTCTGTTCTTCCTCAGCATGAACGTTCCTCTGTCACCAGGTTTTAATTCAAGAAACTCTCTTTTTACTAATGTATTTTAAAGAAGATTGTGATATTCTCTTTCTTTATTGTTTTTAGGCTATTCTCTCTTTGTTTTAAATTTTATAGGATAAGAAAGGTTAAAGAGGCTTCAAAGTAATGATCTTTTGCTTTTCTCAGTAGTTAAAAGGGTGAATTCTCTTATCAATGTTGAACCTGACTTGAGTATAAGTGAGTTTTGATTATAGATATATAATTATGAATTGATTTATCTTTTGTTTGGTTGCTGAGAAAATCTGTGGAAAGAAATAAGTTTTTACGTTCCAAATACCAAGACGGCCTTTAATTTCTGAGACCTATTTGACCATCTGTCAAAATTGAAAATTTTGGTTTCAAAAAAATCTCTCTCTTTTGTAAGGCTGTGTAGATTTTTTCAATGAAGATTATTAATGTTTAAGTTGTTTATATGGGATTGCTTAACCTTTTAAGTGCTTATTTACTTTCACAAGGTTTTTGAGGATGGAAGATAGAAAACAGGCACTTGTGAGCCGGTTGCTTCAATATGCACTTGTACATGAAGTTTTGGGAATTCCATACAATGAGATTGTCATAAAACGTACATTCGAAGGGAAACCCTATCTGGTATGACTAGAGATCGCAATGTTGTTGTTGTTTCTTAATTCCAATCTGGTGATATATTCAGCGTCATGCATAAGTTTTTGCTTAAATAAGAAGAAAACGGGTTTTCATTCTAATCTTTTGCAAATTGTCCATGGTTCTCAGGAATGTAGTAAAGTAGGCATTGAGTTTCCCAATTTTAATTTCAATGTGTCCCATCACGGTGACTATGTGGCAATGGCATCTGAACCTCTGTGCCTTGTTGGGGTGGATGTTGTTTGTTGTATCAAACCCAAGAAAGAGACAGTTCTGGAATTTATTGAAAACTTGTCTCCGTACTTTTCAAGTTTGGAATGGGATAATATAATCAATGCTGGCACCTCGGATGAAATTTTGGTGGTTTTTTACAGGTATGATTGCCCTATGTTATTGTCTTACCTTGTTTTAGACATTTGAGAACTTGATACTGCTATTCGATCTATTTTTACTGCTCAAAATCAGTTTTTATATACTATTGAAGTCAACAATTACTAGAGTATCACCCAATCCTGAACCAACGTAATGATTTGAGTAACTTAAAACTCTAGAAACTTTATTATGTTTCTTTTGATTTCACCAGTAGATTGAGAAACACACACCCCAATTAATGTGTCAAGATTGTGCTACTGTCAGATTTATGTGCTTTCTTTGCCAAAAGATTCGAATCTTCCATTGTTCTGAAAGAACTTCGTCTAGCAAATTAGGATTTATAAATTGGAAGTTATCTATTGTCATAATATCTAGCTGAACCTTAAGATGCAGTTTTTTACATGCTAAATATTAAAATTAGGAGGAAGTCAAGCATGCTTAACATTTGGATTGATACTTTTCTGCAGATACTGGTGTCTGAAAGAAGCATTTGTCAAAGCTATAGGGAGTGGACTGGCATATGGGGTGGATAAAATAGAATTTCATCACACTAATTGGACCAACATATCTGTTAATGTTGATGGGGAGCCATTGACAGAGTGGAGATTTTGGCTTTTTGAGCTACCAAAAAGACATTGGGTAAGTTCCTCCCTGACTTGTGTTTCTTTGCTAATCATATTCCTTTCACTGAACTTCTGAACCCTTGAAATTATGAAGATGTGTGTGATCTGTTTACCTATTAAAGGTGACGCAAACGGAAGCCTTGCAGAACGAGCAAACTATGAAAGTAATGTACACGATCATCTGCATGTAATTGAAAAATGAAGATAGAGATCTAGAGCATACACTTGCCTGTTAATCACCAATTGATGATAGGAAAAGCAATTTTATTTTGCTGTTTCTTCAATTTAACTGATAGAAGTTGAAATTTGCTTGGCTTCCTTCAAAATCTATTTGGAGTATTTGCATCGATTGCTTAAATATAACTCATGAATTGAGAACCCTATTTGCCATCAGGAAGACTAGCATATTGTTTCACTTGTTTTTGGCACGAACCACGAATCGGGTTGGATTAGTGTGTTATCTCAAGCTTGAGTAAAAGGTGTTCATGAAATTGCAGGTGGCAGTTGCCAGGGGTCATCCAAGGTTTGCGGCTGAAAGTTACAAGAGGACAATAACCAGGGCAGAATTTGATGAAGAGGAGTACCACAAGGGTCTTCATCTTCCAAATGTAGCATTTGTTACTCAAATCATAGAACAACTCGTCCCCGTTTCACAAGTTAAAGAAAGCCTAATCCCCGTTTCACATGGTGAAGAAAGCCTACATGAGCAAGAGGATACATGACATGACGTGCCAAAATAGGAGGAGGAAATGAAAGAATTGCCGAAGGATTGGGGCTTCTCATTTATCTTGCACCAGACACATTTGAGATTACGAGCTCAGACTCTCTCCATTTTGCAACGAGGGAGGCTTGATTATAACATACTTACATCACCTCACCAATATACGAAAACAACGCTGCAAAATAGCCGAGTTATTTACTAAACAAATGGTACGGCTTGCACTGATGATGAATCTACAAATAAACGAGGGCTCTATAGAATAATTTGTTACAGGATAAATTGTCTTGAACAGAAACAAAATTTCTTTCCATTTTTCCTTTGAACTGCTCCACTGAAGTATACAAAAAGAATGACCATAATTACAAGTGCAAATTTGCCCGAGACATAAATTATATTAGCAGGTTGGTCCCAGGCAAAAGCACTGCCATTTTTTTCTTAATCCAAGGACATTTACACTGTACTATCTTTTATAGAATCATTGAGAGGTCGTCCATAGGTATTTGAAGGGGCAGGTCGTCGAGTAGTATTTCACCCGCTAAGTCATTTTCTGGCAACCCATCAAATAAACTATTCAGATCCTGAGTGTCACCAAAATCATTGCCATCATGTAGTTGTATAGAGTCTATTTCTTGAAACGCAGCAGTGTTGGTTGCCCTCTTACTTTCTTTAGATGAATCTAAAAGATTTGAGCCGTTGGATGACGCCCCCACTTCTCTTTTCTTATTGCTGCCTGTTTCTTTGAACTTGTTCATAACTCCATCTCCAGAAGTTGATAGCTGAGCAATCTTCTGCTTGGGCTTTGATTTTGTTTTACGGTCACCCTTGATATTGCTCTGAGAAGCACGACCAGCTTTGGTTACAGAATTTCTGGCTAGTACATCCTTGTCCCTCTCTCTCTCGCTTCTATTTCCCTTGGCTCCACCCAGCACAGTATTACCAAGAGATGATGTGGCTTTGAACAAAGCATTACCACCAACATCATCAAGCAGTAGCTCCTTCTTCTTCCCTCTGTTCAATATCGGTCCAGTTTTGGCAAAATCCTGGTCAAATGATGCACCCCTGCCAAATTTATTGTTGTGAAGCTCATGCCTCTCAGCTCTACCAGGGAAAGAACCTGCCAAAAAAAAAAAAAAAGCAATCCTGTTTACTAACAAAGGGTAAAATGTTACCATATTGAATCTAAGAGCTGGCACCTTTTGAACAGGATTTCTACATTGTTTCAAAGCAGAAAACATCATTCACTCATCCAATGCCTATGGGCACACTCGCTAAATAAACAATGCCTTTTGGTGAATAGCAAAAAAGGCAAAACAATGAAAACATTATAAAACTGCTAAAAGTCGCATTGCTAATGTCGCATATAGAAAGATGGCAAACCTGAAGGCCCTGGTTCCTGAGTGCAACTTGTGGACTCTGCAACATTTGCAAGAGGTGCAGCAAAAATGACATCTCGAAGGGAGGGATCACAAAAACAACTTCTGCCTGTATCTTCAAATTTTCTACATTTAGCAAGAGTCCTCTTTGTAAAAGCCAAGGCAACTTGTTTCGAAACCTTTGGGACCCCAAATTTTGAAGCACTATTTCCTCTAGTGGCCTGTCAATGTTGGTCAAGAGGATGTCAAATGTACCACACATAATGGTAAGTTAAGAATCACAATTGAATGGGCACCTATAATAATTGAAGCACTATTTCCTCTAGTGGCCTGTCAATGTTGGTCAAGAGGATGTCAAATGGACTACACATAATGGTAGGTTAAGAAGCACAATTGAATGGGCAACTAGAATAATGACATGGTGCGGAAAACCAGAATACAACATATGCATGGAACAAACAAGAAGACATGGTATCATATGGATTGCTAATTGAAAATGGGGATCAGTTTAAATTAGAAAGGAACATACAACAAATACTTAATCAAAAGGAAAAAAAAAAAGAAAGTGCTTAATTAGAAAGAAATGAAAGGACTAAGATAGGCCGTTGCCTCTATATTATATCATTTTCCAATCATACTCAAACTTGTGAATTTTGCCTATAAGAAAAACAAGGGAGATAGACAACATACCAGCTGCTTTCTATAAGCCAATTCAACAAGCCTGTCCATTGCAACATGCTCAAGAGGCCTGCAAATTGACGACATAATATCCATATTAATAAAAATCAAGAAAATTATTTCAATGGCTGATGTGCATTCTCGGAAGTTGAAAGCCTAACATCAGGAGAGATCCAAAATAATGAGTATCTTACCATCCTTGTGTTTCCCTTTCCTCCTCAATGGCTCTAGTTAATTTGTCCAGGTGATCCTTCTTTTTACCAAACTATACAAACGATAAAAATTGTACACACTGATAAAGATTCATATTCTTGCAGCATATGGAAAATTATAAAAAGACAGTAAAGAAAAGCAAATCACTGAAAAAAAAATGCAATTGCTTTTATACGGAAGAAATTTATTCGAAAATGTAAAAATTGTCAAGTTTAAATTTTTGGGGAATGAGTTTGAGAAGCAAAAAACTTAAGAAACTTAACCTGTTGATAAAGTTTCTTCTGAAGTTCAATAATATCTTCATTAATTGCTTCCTCCTCTCCATCTGCTAGATCAGGCTGCAAGGCAAGTGTTTCAGCACCAGAGAGAAAAAAATGAAAATGTTAAGAGAAAAAAATCTATATATGTACCTTTGCAAATATATATACAAGATATGCTCATCACACACACATGAAGAGAGAGAGAGATTCAGTCCGGTTTTTCTTTTTACATGAAAAAGCCTACAACAGACTTGACCCTAAAACAAGCTCACTGATCTCTGTGTGGATATTGTGTGTGCATACATATACACACAAAGAAAAATAACAGGTATTTGGCAAATACAGACAGAATGTATTTGGCAAAGACACGTTAAGCCGACTGATCTGAAAGTGAACAGGATGCATTAGCAAGCAAGTATTTCCTTCGTGTTTGTTGTGGTGCATTTGGCTGGAGAGAAGAAACATTGGTCTCACGTGGGGGAACATCATATGCAAAGACCTCATAGATGATATTATTTTCTAGCATTGATTTTCTGGATGTAACCGTGTCAGGAAGTTTTCTTTCCTATTCATTCTTTTTTGGTGTTTCTCGCATACCCAAGATACGAAGCATTGAGACCTTTTAAATACATTAGCCCTCGTGGAAGAGGAAAAAAGCTTGTAAAATAGATCTTACCACTGTTTCTGGATATAAAAAAACACTCTCCAGCTCAATTAAGAGTTTGTCCTCCAGACCTAGTTGCTCATATTGGCAATCATACGCAGATATGCTTAAAGCATTTGAATGTATAGCTGGTTTCTCATCATTATTCTCGAAAGGCCCGAGGCACATTCCAGTTTTCAAGTGCATGTATCCATTACCTCCTTGCACCAAATGATCATCACACAAATTATTGTGCAAACCACTTGTCCTATTAATAGTAGTACTTCCGTTGCAAGAAATACCATCAACAGAAAATTGCTTCTGACTTTGAAAACCCAACATGGATTCGTAATTAAAATCAAATCCATTTGTGCTACCGGGCTCAAAATCAACTGAGAGGCAATTATCACCAGGAGAACTATCTCTAGTATATTGAAAAGAAATATTTCTCCCTCCACTGTTTTCTGCAAATTCTTCAGACTCGTCTTCTACAATCAGAGCAGACAACACTCTTTGGTACAGTGGAGTAACTTTGTTTCTTCTTCTTATGCCTCCACATGAAGCACTATTGCCCTGATCTGTATCTACCAAATCTGAAGTCCTCCCTGACTTTTTTGGTTGATCTTGGTCGTGCAAGTTTCTCTCACTTTGTTCATGAATGAGTTGGGATGGAATATCTTCTTCAAGCACAAGATCGTCCTGAAGAAACATGGCAGGTTTAGCACCAGATGAGGAATAGTAAACCACAGAAAGGATTAAGACTGTATAATTCTCTTCATTCTCTCCCATTTCCCCCTTTATCATTCTTTTGAATACTCTGACAATTAATGTGCAAGTATATTTAATGCAAAAATAAATAAATTGCTAGTAGTATGGACAGGGTGATTGACATAACTAAAATAAATAAATCGCTAGTAGTATGGACAGGGTGATTGACATAACTAACAGTAAAAGAGCACATCATAAATTGCAACACAAATGAATGAGTTCTAGAAAACAATGGGACTTTTATATGAGAAAAGTCAGTATTCGATTCATGCTGTCAACACAAGAATTTTTATTCTTGAAAAAATATCAATCAGTTGGAGTGGACAATTTTAAATAGATTACAGCATACTTTCATTAAAGTAAAGAATCCAATTGTGTTTTGCACTAGATTTTCTCTCTCAAATGAATTGAAAACAAGCTGTTATCATTGCATGCAGTGAAGCATCTCAGGGATTTCAAAAATATTAATATACTACAATATCTGGTGATGTACAGTCCTTGTTGTGTAAACTCCAGTCAAAGATGGATTTTGCATTTAACAGCTACTTAAAATATAAGGTAACAAGTGACATAGGCAATATTTCAATTGTCATGTTATGCTGTTATGTCCATTCGAAAAATAAGCAAGGTCAAAAGTGAAAGTAAGCAGACAAACACATGCTTGAAACACTTGTCGTATGGTCACAGAAAACAATGTAACTGCATTTCGATTACCAAATTATTGCAGCAGTCAAAAATTTCAGATAACCTCTTGTGAAGATCCTCCGTAGATTTCAACTGATTCCAAACATGGATGAGAAGACAGAAAAAAGGTAAGTTTTCCTGAATGATCATTATAATTCAAAAGTGGAACTAAATCATCTTTAGTGGCAGATTGTAGCAATTACCTGTTGCTTCAAGTAGGATGAATCCTCAGAGCAGATAGGAGCAAAAACTGGTTCCATTTTCTTCCAAAAAGAACCAGAACAGGAAAGATCTGCAAAAGCAAAAGTTACTAAAAAACACCATATAAACTGGCAGAAAGGAAAAGAAAGCCTTGAGTCACGTGCATACAGCTGGCATTGCAAGCAAACTTTGCAGCAGCCAAGAGTTCTTCGCGATCGTCTTCTGATTCACCTTAAAAATCAAATAAAAAGAATATGAAAGTGATTTTAACCATAAATGCTGTACATGATTACAAAGAAATGTAGCAAGCGACAGTAAATTAAAACCCTCCAGGAAGAAAGGCTTCTTCTTCACTAAGCTTACATTAGACTTCTGACTATTTTGAATGACTTTCATCTTCTTTAGCCCTTGATTTGAAAACCCAAACAACATAAAACTAGATCCATTGGCAATTTCATATTTCTTCAAAATCAAATCAAGGGCTAGAGAATTTTGGAAGTTTTTTATGCTCTCTCTCTCTCTCTCTCTAGACCAACCAGATAATTCTGTTGTATGGGATTTAAGAGATATAAGGCACACTCAAAATAGATGAACATGGAATGTGGTGAACCAAAAGCATCAAGGCCTATCACATAACAAATGCAAACTTAGAAGGAAAACCATTGTATATGCATTTCTCTCATTTTTGCTCTGAGCATTGTTTATTCTTCTCTATTCTCAATTCTCTTAGTTTATTTGTACCTTAAGAATGTTTGTTAAAACCTAGTTGTCACAATATTTTCCTCAGATATTTACATCGTAAAGGGAGCTTCAAGCATGATACTCATAACAGAGCATCACTGCACAGATTCACACTTAAGAAAGTGAATAAGCTTTAGAACATGAATAAGCTTTGCCACCAAAATCTTCTGAAAAAGATAGAATGTTAACTATTGCTGTCAAAGTCATGTATATGGTATAAGCAGATGTTGCCTACAAATGTTACAAGGTGGGGATTAAGTGGTTAACAAACAAGAAGGAAGGAGTGGAAAAGAAAATTATTTTTAACTGATCTACCATAAAGCTAAATACATGCAAACAAAAGCAATTCCTTGTATGTTATGTGGTTGTTGAAGCCACTCTAAAGCAATATAGCTCCAAGGAAAACTACAAACAGTAAGTAACTTCAAAAGAGGGTTTTGAGAGTGTACCTGAGAAATCTGGGGAACTGCTTGGTGGTGTTTGCCCAAGACGAGTGAAGGCCTTGCGATCTGATATTTTCTTAAGAGGGGGACGACCTGTCTTGCTGAACTAGTAAACAGATTCAAATGTATCAATGATTTAACTTAGTTGAGTAACAGTAATAATTACTAGAATGGTGTAAAAGTGTCATTTCTTGCCATTTTCAGGGGGAAAAAAAAACAAGGAGAAGAAAACCATTCACCACCTTCCGCTCTTGTCTGAAATGGGCCTTGTACTTCTAAGTGGCTTGGTTGAGGGTGGATTCTCCAGCTTTTCCCTCATTGGTGAAGTGCTAGTCCTAGAAGATGATGCAACCCGACCAGTCCTTCCTTGTCTTCGCACACCATCACCAGAGTCTTCCCTACTGAGTATTTTATTCTTCTTTGTCAACAATAAAGAAGGAACAGCATTCTGATTCAGGGATCTCTCCTCTGCCCCACCACTACCTATTCCCTTCTCCTTGGGCTTACTCTCGCGATTTTCACCAGCACCAGATTCTTCACTTTCAGATAATCTTGATGGAGATGAAACATTTTCATGTTTCATTCTGACTGGTGTGGTTCCATTAATCACATCCTTGGCAAGAGGTGGCCCCTTGATCCCAGCAGAAGTCATTCGAGTGGCAAAATCAGAAATATGTCCTCTTTCTGACGATATTTGTCCTTCATCATGGTTAGAGACAGGAGACACCACGTTCACCCTCCTGGTACGAGAGATTTTTGTGGTCTCTGACCAACCCATTGAGCCATTGGGGGAGATGATGACCCTGTAGGCAAGGGACGCTTGCGATTATTAGGCCCCCCAACTGAATTGCCTTTGGCTATGCCTGGTGGTTGTTCCCAGCCATCAAGGGCCCCAGGTGTGCGGGGAATATTAGAAGATGCATTTGCTGCCATCACTGAGCCAGTTCGAGGTGTCCTGGAAGCCTTTCCTTTTGTCACTGGACTTGGACTCACTGTATGATTATTGTCCTCCAGAATATTTACCCTGAATAGCATTGTTACAGATACATCAAACACAGAAAATGAACATTGAGAATCTATACTACAGCAATGAACAAATTAACGGATTTGAAACACCATTACAGCATAGCCTAGTATATGCAAGTTATTATGTACCAAATAACAGCATGGTTGAACATAAAAGATGAATAAATCAATGAAAGATTACATACTTATTGCTTGCTTTCACTACAAGTCGCTCCTTATTCATGCCAGTAGCAAAATCCCTTGTCAAAGAAACTTTTTCTGATTCCTTGGGAATGGCCCGGGCATTTGTAGTAGAAGATGAAATGCCATCTGCCTTGTTGATGCCACTACTCCCATTAAAAGATCCTGACCTGCAAGATGGACTTTCAAGATCACAACAACTATTCTTTGTTACATGCAAACAAAACAGCAAGAGTAACACCTAATGTTTTCATAAACAGTCAATATTCAATACAAGGAGAAATAAAGTCAAAGAAGAATTAGCTATGGATCATGCAAGACCCAAGCTCTTACCATGTTGCCAATTCCACTGGGAAAAAAAAAAAAAGTGAACTTTGTTTGGTAGAGGAAGGTGGGACAGACTACTTTGATGCAAGTAGAATGAGCAAATGGTCCCACTCTGTACACAAGATGGTCATTGACGACATCAAAAGGACATAATTACCACCTTCAGTCCTTTAGGTTGCATAGTTACAATTTCCGTTTTCAGCTTAAGTGACTCAGTTCCTTCTTAAAAGAGTATCTTACTATAATCCGGGACAATGCCATTTACAAAGGAAAATGGAAGGGCCATTATTGGAAATTACTCAAAAAACTTGGAAGTCATATTGATAATACTATACGGAACTAACTTATTTGTATGGTTAAGTTGGAAACATAGAGCATTCTCATCTACTAAAAATGGTATGTTGTTAATGAAGAAATTACCTGAAGCCTTGGGCATCACCAGGTTGCAGACCAGGTTCATTATTTAACTTATGATGCACCACTCGTTTAACTTCCCCATCACTGTCTACAGTTCTGGTAAAAACAGTGCCAACAGAACGTTTCTTTTTCATCTTTCTGTCCCATCCTTCCCCTCCAGCAGGTAGCCTACGGACCTTTTCATCAGCAAGATCAGAAACTTCACCGCCATCCCGGTGTAGGTCTCTGTCTTTTCCTGTGACCAAAGGCTGCCTCGGAACTATATTGCTTCGGCCATCGACCTAGAGAAATCAGAGAGGAAAGAGGAAAACGAGCATACTGAATTAATACAGCTGATAAGGTAATATTGATGCCTTTACTGAACTACAAACATTCACACAAAAAAGGGAAACAAAAACAATCATAGCAGCATCGTGGCACTTTTATATCTCAAGAAAAATACAATCTGGCCATTGAACCTTGTAGAAACTTATAGAAAGTTAAAGCAAATATTTAAAGCAAGCTGCTATGTAATCTTAACAGGAAATGGGGACCTCGATAACAATTCAACAATCTGCCAATCATGAATTTTCAACTAGGGGTAGATGCATATTCTGAAGGGCTATTTGGATATTTATTGGAATTTAAAACCTTCAAGAACCTCTACTGCTAATTTCTCCTTGTTGTAGTGTCTAATCATTATTCTCCATTAATGTAAACCCCCACATAAAGCATGTACAGCAGAAATAGAGTTTCTATAACAGAAAGAAGAAAAGTAATACAATATATGGAATATATCTTTATGGACTTATAGACAAGAGCATACTCCTTCTAAGCATATCGATACAACCATTTTTGGATTATACACAGAATAATCTAACACTCACAAGAATGTAACTGTGACATGAAAGATGCAGTATTTTCTGGACAAATATAAAGTGCAAATCTAAAGAAGGTATTGTGCACAAACCCGTAATTCTGCTACAGAAGAGCGAACTCGCTTATTCAAAACAGTATTCTTAGTCCGGTCCTCTGATCTTTGAGTCCCAAGGTCTGAAGGGTTCCGATGAATCTCCGTTCCCATCTTCAAAAAGTTTGAACCACCTGACCTTTCATTCATCAGCATCTCACTTCGTTGTTGATTCTTTGAATTTAATTCTTCTGAGAATTTGTGACATCTTAGCAAGGATTCATTCCACATTTTTATTCTACTCCTGATACAAAAAAATAAAAAATAATAATAAAAATGTTTGGTCTTCAACAAAGAAAAAATGCTCCAATGACAAGTCATTACATCATATTTTCAACAAAAGAAAAGACAAGAAAAAATTTCTGCCAAGTGTCCAGACCTAGTGACAGTCAAAAAAGGATTATCTTCCATCACATGGAAACAACTTCGTATGCGTGATATATATTCCAGCGTGGATTTTTTTTTTTAGGATATAGAAGGCCAGCGATGAGAAGTCATCCACAAACAGTTATAATGATAATTAATTACCTGGCCTTCCGATTGTCATCTGATACACCTGCTTTGATCCGCTTCAATTCCTCTGCATCCATTGCAGGGGAGGCTTTGAATGAGCAGCTCCAAAAGAATTATCTTCTGTAGCACTCCCAAGAGTTAGCCCAAAAGCCCTCCTTAACTCGCCTGTTCTAGTATATTTTTGATCTCCCATTGTAACTGGATCCAACGACAGATATTGAGTAAGTGGGGCCATACTCCGAGCTGGTGAAGCAGAAGCCCGGGGTGTACTTGCCCCAGAACTGAACATTCGGCTCTCACTACTCTCCCGGAAGCTTCCAGACCTATCGAAACTGGCACTAGGATAACTTCCCCTCGGCCCATTAGAATAGCTACCTGTAAAACCTAATTCCTCCGGACTAGCCGAACTCAACTCATATCTAGCATTTCCAGCCATGTTCTCAAAAAACCCACACAAACCAACTCATATCTACAAAGTACTACTTCCTCAACTGCTTGTTTCACTAAGTCCAGCAACTATCTCTAAAGCAGACATTCAACAATGACCATTCCAGGACGTGTCAACAAATTCATACATAACCACCAAAATTATAACCCAGCTGCCATATCTACAATACCAATGAACTTCAATTAGTCAAAGCCCTTGTCAAAACTTTCTTCATTCAATAGTACAGTAAATTTTATTCGTTTTGTAATTCCCAAAAATAAATATTAAAAATTAAAACTAACCAAAAAAAGCCCCAATTTTAACTAAAGCAGAAGCTAAACATGTTCGGTGTAGCAAAATTCTTCACCATTTTGTCATTAATACACTAAACCCCAATTAGAAAAAGGAGCTAACTTCCAAAATTTTAAACTTAACAGTCAAGTCAATGCCACAAAAACCCATTATTCTACAGTAATTAAGTACGCTGGTAGCTCAAAAATTAATGAAACCCTCATACTTAAGCCTCTAATCACCATTTAAACCCACAAAACACTATAATTCAATCAAATTAAAACCAAATTTCAAAATTCAACCAATAACATCGAATTAATCAAATTCAAATTCGTTCGATCACTAACAAGTATAAAACAAACTACTATAACCAAAAAAACCCTAATTCGAACAAAACAAAATCAGGGTTCTTGAAAAAACACGAAATTTAAACGCGAAATGTGCAGCGAACGCGAGACTTCAACAATACGCAGGTAATGAAGTAACGAAAACGCAATCGAGACGTACCGCCATTGAAGGATAATTAGATTACGTGAGAGATCGAATTGTAGAGAGAGAGAGAAAAAAGAAGAGGGATTTTTGCAGAGTGTGAAAGAAATGGTGAGGGTCCCGCAGAAAAAATTTAGGGATTAGCGTGGTTAATTTGGGGATATAAAGGAAACGGTGCCGCTTAAATCAGGGCCGTCTATCAAGTGTGCTATTTTTTTTTTTTGGTGGGGTCCTGCTAATATTTTGGGAGAGGGAATGGAAAGGAAAGGAAAGGGAAGGGAAGGGAAGAGAAGAATATACTATTTTCTCTCACTTTTTATTTGTTTGTGACATACGGAATGATTGAATCTAAATTTTTGTGGTCTTGCGGGTAGGGTTTTTTTGGGTTTATGATGGGATGGGAGGGGATTGTGAAATTTGGAAAGGGATAAAAAGGAAAAGGAAAGTAGGTAGATTTTTACTTAAATTTGACTTTGGTTGACTTTGGGTGTTTTTCTAAGTCTTTTGATAGGGTGCATTGGGTTGCATATTCTTGGACCCAATGAGGTGGTTGTTTGGAACATGAATACAAAAGAATGTGATGGAAACTTGTAAGCTTTATGAGTTTGGGAAGTCTTTGATTCATTGGTTTTCAATCACAAAATTAGGTGGAGTTTCAAAAGTACACTTGAGATCTGGACCAAAGCTCGAGATATATACTTCCCAAAATCCCTTCGATATTCTCAAGCTATATATGATCATGCTATACATGGCAGGCAACCACTCAATCTATTACTGGCTTTTTTTTTTTTTTTTTTTATGTGTGGGATAATTAGGAATTGACTTTTCAGGATTTAATTATGTTAAAGCTACCAGCTGCATCTTCATTTATTATTTAACTAAACGGTTCTTTTAACATTAGATCATCTAAACAATTCGAATTTAGATAATGATAATTGATTTTCAATTCTTTTTTTATTATTTTCTTTGGTAAAAGTTTCATAATTTTTTTCTCAATAATTATAAATGAGACACACTTTTTGTCAATTGTTAGTTACATGTTGTTATGTGTCAATAGATCTCAACCACATTAGTATTTTATAATCTCAAGTGATTGAAGAAATTCAAATAAAATATTGGTCACTCTAGCAAAAAATTAATCAAAGGTTAGGTACTTAATTTATATTTTTTTTAATAATCCAAATGAGACCTGCTTTTTATCGTGTGGTAGTTTATTTCCTATGTGTTAGTATTTTTTTAATTTTAAATAATCATGGACACTTAAACATAAAAAAAAAAATCAAAATCAAAATTTAGACACTCAAACATGGAAATAGAATTCAAAAGTTGGGCACTTAAATTTTAGGTTTATCTAAGATTTTTTAGGACTAGTTTGCTTGTCGATTGAAACAAGTTTCGTCTTTGCATAATTTTAAAGGTGCATTCCTTTACATCAATCCGATTTTAAAGACACTTTATAAATGAATTTAATAAATTTTTCTTGATACTGGTCTCGAGGTTTGAATTGAAGAAGCAAGAAAAATGAACAAATCTCTTTTAACTATTAAGCTAGCTCCTAAAGTTATAAAATGCTTCTTTCCATGAGTAAATTATAAATTAGTTCTTTTAGTCTTGAGAAATAAACTAATTAATCTTTGTTGTTCAAAAAAACTAATTATTTAGTCTTTCTATTTTTTAATTTTCTTGTAATTTAATATTTTTTATTTTTTGTTTTATTTCTTTTTTTAGAGATAGAAAATAAATAAATAAATAATATGAAAAAATTAATAAGAAAATATGACATTTTATAAAATAAAATAATATTAATTTAGCGTGATTAATGTTGATCAAAGGATTACGTAGTTTGTTTTTGAAATAAGAGGATTAATTTATTTATTTCTTGACAATATATAAACTAATTTATAATTTACTCTTCTTTTGACAGTGTTTATTCATATACGATTTCGAGTTTGTGTTGATTTTGCATGATCTTATTAAGGAGTTTTTGGAAATGTGGTATTTACTCTTTATATATATATACCAATGTGGTATTTGCTTTTGTATTTTAACTCATATTTTAGTTCCTAACTAGCTAGTTGCTCGTGCTTTATCTGTCAGACAAACTTTTATATTATAATTTTTATTTAATATTTTTCATAAATTATTTAAGTTATGGACAGACTTTTATATTGTAATTTTATAATTAATTAATTTTTTATAATGTTCTTTTTATCAATGTGGTATTTTCTTTGGTATTTTAGCTCATATTTTAGTTTCTAATGTTTTTATTTCAAATTATTCACACTTGTGGGTCCAATAGAACAAATCATTTTAAAATTTAAATTTTTTATTATAATTTTTTATTTAATATTAACTTTTTCTGATGTTTTTTCACAAATTTTATGCTTAAGAAAACATAAATCATTATTCTTTATGGATTGATTTTAAAATAAAAAATATAATAATTTTAACTAAAAATTTGATCAAGAATAAAAAAAAACTTTAAAACATATCTTTCATAATATTATATTCCAAAAAATAAAGTTATAATTAATGGATAGATTTTTATAAAAATTAACAAATGAAAAAAAATTGTTATTTAATGCTGATGAGAAGTTTAATTTTTTAAATTTTCAACGAACGTCGTGGACAGATTAAACAAAATCATTTCAAAACTTTATAATTTTTTTAATCATTACCATTTTTTTGTGTTTTTCATAAAATTTCTATTTTAAAAAATATGATTTATTCTTATTTATTTAGGGATTCTTAAATAAAAATTTGTAATAATTTAAACCTAAAATATTAATTAAGAATTCAAAAATAAATACTTTAAAAATATATGTTTTTTTATAAGAATGTATAAAAAAAATAAAATTTTATTCTCATTTAATATTGGTGAGAAGATTTTAAAAAAATATATTGCATTTGAACTTCATATATTTATTTACAAAATAATCAATAAAATTAGCATGAAAAAATATATTTGAATAATTGGCTTTTTCCTTTAAAAAAAATATTTTAATTTTTTTATTTCAAATAAATTGGTTCTATGATTTTAAACAAATATTCATAGTAAATAATTTGTATTATGTTATAAGATGTATAGTTAATTTTTAATAAAAACAAGGATTCAATGGTATTTTTATACGTCTTGATTATACTTAGTGCATTGAGATACATTATTTAAAATACACTTTAAATCTTTTAGAATAATATATATATATATATATATATGCAACTATTATTTAAAAATTCTAAGAATTCATGATATATATTATACCAATTTATTTTTAAAAAATCATGTTTTAAAATTTTATTCTAAAATTCAAATATAGAGAAAATAAATTATATTTAGTAGTGAATAAATTTTATATAAAAAATATTAATTTGATGAGAATTTTCATAAGAAAATGATAGATTCAAAGAATAAAATTTAAATATTAAGAGTAACATAAGCTGAAGTATATGTTAATTTATATATATATATATATATATATATATATATATATATATATATATATATATATATATATATATATGTGTGTGTGTGTGTGTGTGTGTGTGTGTGTGTGTGTGTGTGTGTGTGTGTGTGTGTTTTGAATAGATTCTGAAGTCAAAAAATTATGATTTGTTCTTTGTTATGCATTTATTCTTAAATAAAAGCCTATAATAAACAAATTTTAATGTAAATTTAAAAAAAAATGTCATAATATTTTTTTCATGACATTGCATCGAAGAAATAAAACAACAATTACTATAAAAACTTGTATGAAACTTAAAAAATGAAGCTTTTTTATTAATAAGAAGATTATTTTTTAAAATATATACATTTAATTTATATATGTTTATTTATGAGATAATGAATAACATTAGTATACAAAATTGTATTTAAATTATTAGACGGTTATTCTAAAATAATATTTCAATTATTTTATTTGAAAAAATTAATTTTAAAACATTAAAAAAATAATGGTAAATAGTTTATATTATGTGTGCGGATGCATAGTTAATTTATAATAAAATCAATGACTTTAATATTATTATTTTTTATACATCATGATCGTACTCAATTGGGGGGAATGTATAGCATAAATTGAAAAATATTTTAAAAAATTTATATATATATATATTGAAGTTAATAGAGTGTAATAAAAACTATAAAATTGATTTTGATAAAATTTGATTATATAAAGAATAAAAAATAAAATACATATATTCTATTTTTAAAATTGATTATATAAGAATTA